CCGCCACTTAAGTCCAGAAATTAATGGCGATTTTAAAGGGAATTTTACGTAGAAAAAAGCGACAAATCCTGGACAAGTTGAGAGAAAATGACCCGACAGTTTATAGCTCTTTACATTTCAATGGACCGCATTTTGCCGCCAGGCCCATTTATGCGCATGCGTGCATAATTAACAATTTATTAGTAAAAATGTACATCAAGTCTGTGCTCCTTCGGAGCACGGGCTGCGACTCCACATGGGGCATTACTGCGCGTGAGCATGCACTATGGGCTTCGTGTGCATGATCGACGGATCGGGGTTCGCCGCGTTAGTAGACGTGGAGCCCGTCAAGCCACTGCCAACGCGCGATGCCCTCACGCTGATATAGACACAGTCTTGCATTCAAGGCTACCTGATCGCGGACTGAAGAATCGTCGGCGCGTGAAGGATGTCATTGCGAATGTTAATCCGTGTCATGACTTTGCGATTATGGAGCAGTATGCGGACACGCGGTTGAAGGGATAGGAAGTTGCGACATTATAGCATTTGCTGCTGAATTATGGACTCCTGCACGTATTCAACGGTATATATGAAACGCATGAGATAGATGGCGTCCTGACCCACAGTTGGATAGTGTAGTGAGGAACTTTTGGTCAGTTCGGGGTGTGAAGTGGCGTCGTCACAAGTACTGAACCACTTTTCACACGTCCACTTACGCGGCTTAACCGACGAAGTAATTACGTTCCGCGGAAGAGAGTGTGCGCGATGCAATTGGAACTTGATATTCGCGATTGTTCTCAAGCTGTATGTATGAGGACGGCACCGAGTCCGTAGGCAGATGCATCAGTACACGGGCAGATTTGGGTCAAACAGAGGAAGGGTAACGCACGGGCTATACTTAAGTTCCTTGCTTGGCTCAAAACTATATGCATTGCAGCGGATGACCACTTGAGTCTGCTCCTTTACGAATCACGATGCGTACAGGCTCGACTTCTGTACAAAAATCGGTCACAAAGCGATCAAAGTAGGATGCAAGTCTGAGAAATGACCGCATTGCAGCCGCGTTACATGATAGATGGCATCCATATGGGGTGGATTCGTAGACTGTATGGGAGGGTTGATGCAGATTCTGGAGACACATGACGAACTGGAATGACTTTGTCACCGTTCTATATGTAAGCTGAAGCGACTGGGTGAGGTCTAAACCAAGAATTGGATCGCCTTTGTTCACAACGTAGAAGTCTCCCTTCCCACCGTGATCAGCATTGTCAGCATGTCAAATCATGGTAATGAAGTACCCGAGCAAAGTGATTGGTTCATGATAAGTTGTAGGTTTTATCGGTGAAGGCTGCTTAGTAATTGTAATAATATAAGCCAATATTGTGCTAGTCTTGCCAGTAAATACATTTGCAAACTCTTGAAAGACCCGGGTCGGAGTCGACCCGGAATTCTTGTCAGATTGACCGGACACCTTTTCAGGTCAAAGTGACACTTCTCTGTGTCACTTTCCTGGGGCAATTGACACAGCAAAGTGTCCTTCCTTGTTTTACACAAATATTGTCATTTGGATCCGAAAGAGTGCCAGGTCAAATCTGACCCGAATTCAGGGTCAAATCTGACCCAGGACTTTTGAGAGTGTAGATTCACGAAGTTAGTTTACTCCTTCTTCATATGGTTTCTATTCCGGCCTTTACGACACATGCACCTCAAACAAAAGCAGCACGCAGTCACGTTGATCCAGGTAACTAATGCCAGCACGACAGCCGAGAATAGGTAGACGTCAAGAAGATTCCTCTGGACGAAATTCAGATCCTGGACGGCCGGTCGTAAGTGATCTCCGCCGAACCGGGCCACATGGAGTATCCAGCGAGCCATGGTGTCCACGGGGGAGGCTGAGGTCTCGAGATCCCGCATGATCTCGGAGATGCGCCGTGCGTTCTCACGAAATCTACAAGCCAAATTTAAACAGTGATTAAGTCGAGGTTAACAAGGTTGAGAATAATGTGGCACCTCATGCAAAGCTCTCTATTAACGGTCTCAAAGCGCTACACAAAATGTTTACCTTAGGGATATAGTATATGAGATCATTTTCAACAGCAGCCCAAGATCAGCGCAACCTGTTCTCTATACACTCACAGGTTCCCAATTCACACTCCTGGGTGGAGATACGAGCGGTAATTGTTGTAGAGTGTCTTTCCGAAGAACACCAGCGGGTTTGAAGCTATACCGTGGACGATTTGAGCACCGCAACCATTGGACCACTGTACGGCTATAGTTTCAAGCTAAAAATAACGTTTACCCTGGCAGACCCACAACACGAAAGTTTCCGGAAGAGTCTGGTAGATTGCTAGAGTTATTTTCAGTGGTATTCTGAGCTATGTTGACCGATCTTTCGCACATTTCATGGGATACATTAACACTAAAATGCCAAGCAATATCACCTAGCGATGTACGGTATAGTTCGGTTGCACTCGTCACCAGCAAGTATTATTCGACTAGTGATTTTCACCAGAATTCTAAATGTTACGTGTCTGGTTCCTTTCCGAATTTTACTGAAACCATCCATATTGGGGTTTTAAATTCTGCTCAGCGACTTGGTTGCAGCATGCAGAAAATGTAATTGCAGCCATACTTACCTGGGCTCTGTCATGACTCTACCGATGGTTTGGCTCAGAGTTCTCGGTGTCATGATGGCGATGTCTACTTTCAACCCAACACCTTTTGCCTCTACGCGGACCAAGTTGTCCATCTGATCTTCAATCAGCGGCAGTCCAACTATCGGCAACCCCGCCCACAGTGCCTCGTTAAGGGCTAAGCCTGCACCCTGACAGACGTACAGCCGTACATTTGGGTGTTCTGCAATCCACAAGGGGAAAAAACAGCAAAAAAATAACCTCTTGGATACATGTAAAGTACAGCTTCAACGGTTTGATAGTCCGGCCTGAATTTCTAGCTTTCACACTCATACATAAAAAAATGCACTCTTAAAAGTCTAAATAAGTTTTGACTCGGCATCCGGGTCATATTTTGACCTACAAGCTTTCAGGATCAAATGAAACTATTCCGGGATAAAATGACACTTCTCTTGGTCATTTTCCTGGTCATTTTGGCACCGGAACCTTGGCAAAGGTGTCATTTTGACATTTAAAATATCAGGTCAAAATGACTCGGATTCCGAGTCAAATCGGACCTGGGACCTTTAAGAGAGTAAGATTCGTCATCTGTTTGTAGTGGTAGATGTGTCCACATCTGTGCTGATTACCCTATCCTTGACCATTGATCACAATTCTGAGTCCAAGGCATGTGGATGCTTCCAGATTAGACAATGTGTAGCACGTACCGCTACCGCTCCCCGCAGGGCGGGGTGACTTTTCAGGGTACATAATAAGTTACCCCTGTGCCAGTTTACAGCCTTGTCATGGACGACTTTCATACGTTAAAAGATATAGTCAAAGTCTTTAAAGTACGATCTTAATAAAAGGAACATACTGCGATCGTCTGCGTGTATGTGGTGAGAGATCAGAACAAAACACCAACACCCACCCATAACTTGTGTCATGGGCAACCATTTGGCAACCATGGTGTTGTTCCCGAGCCGAAGTCCTGACAAGTCGGCGCCTGACTGCCACAGTACGCGATGCGGTAGCATAGCGAAGGCATCCGCGAACATCTGGGCCTGCTCACGCTCCATCATCGTAACAAAAGTGCCCATGGAGAACATCACCACTCCGGAGGGAGCAGTATCAAGAAACTGGGCGACATCCTCTCTCAGCTGCAAGTGTGCAAGACAAACACAAAGTAAGATACGTCATGATGCCGGAAATGTTTTTTTTCTGGGTTACATTGTTCCAGTTGTCTCGATCATCATCACCATCCTATCAGTTATCAACGCCTGTTAAAAGTCACTCATAGCCTTACTTACATCGTCATGATAAGTTCCAGCGTCTATGTCATTGCCACAGATGGTCATTGTCATTGAGATTGTCATCTTGAGTGCCCAGCCCTTACTTATGTCATTGTAATTGTCATCGTCTGTTATTGTCAGTGTCATATTCATTATTATCTCCGGCATAATCATGTCATCGTCATTGTCAGTATTAAAGTCCTTGCCATACACATTTTCATCTTTATTGTCATACTTTATTATCATCGTCGCTATCTTCAGTACCATAATACCATCGTCATAATCATCCTCAATGAAATCTATGTAAACTGTAGTCATCAATGTCAAAAGTATCGGCATCATCGTCGTTTCTACCGTCAAACTTTACCAACAATATTAAATGATGCTGAAAAATCAATTCCCTAATGTGGCTTGATTTCATTACAAGAGACATCTCACCAATCACATATTTTCAAACACGCACAGGATCTCCCAATGCAATCAAGTTGGTAATTTTCAAGACTACATACCGTTTGGTTTGAGTGTACTCCAGGATGATGGAGAACAAGGATTGTGTTGGGCTGCATGGGGCGGGCGAATTCCAACGCGAAGCTTCCGTGCAGAAAGTACAGTAATTAAGGCTTGCTTATGGGACTCCAGCGTGCTAATCTCTGGCTTGATGTTGTACTTGACCTTTAGCTTATCATAACCATCGAAGTTACATATGCCCAGACGGAAGTAGACAAATCCGTAGAAATAGTGGGCTAGAACGTTCTGCACTCGCTGGAGGCACGTCATTTTGTTGGTGAGTCCCATGACGCGCTCCGGTATGTACGAGGGATCGATTGGAAGTCCAGTCCTGTTTAAAATTTAATAAAGAAGTTAAAAAAAAATCCCAGCTTCTCAGCCCCAAATAGTTTCTCAGCACCTAGTGCTTGGGATCAAACCCCCGATTTCGTATTACTGCCGAAACAGTGTGAGACTTTAATTAAGCCCGTACTCTAATTAAGCCCGTACTTTGACCAAAAATATGATCTAGATTCCGGGCGCTATTCCGCGTCGAGTCTGACCAGGGAGTTTTAAGAGTGCGTAACCCTCGAAAATATGCATCGTACAAGAAATAGATAACTTACCAATGCCCGTGTTTAGACGGAATGACGAAAAAGACGGAGCTATGAACGAATGGGATATCTAAAGCCTGGGCCAACAGTGGTCCGCATGGTATCATGTCGTCTACGACAAGCATGTCAAATTTCTCCTTGCGCAGTCGCTTCATGGCGGTTAAATCTCCCAAAAGGTCGTCGCACTCTGAAGCCACATATCTAGAAAATTCAGCTTGCCCGTCAGATTCGCTGAATACAGAAAGGGACCAAAGAAGTGATTATGATGTCCCTTCACGATCACTTTGGATATATTGTCCAGCACGTCGGTCCTGTTCTGTTTGGTATAGGTCGAGTTGAAGACCACGAAGGAGAAGACGTCGGCGTCTCTCTGCCAGCTTCTGTTGGAGTTGGAGCTGCCAACAAGGGATACAACACGGTGACCCTGTTGGACCAGTGCCCTACCCGATCTGGCCAGGACCACGTAGTGGCTTCCCCCCGCGATTGAAGCGAAGTACAAGAACTTGTACTTTTTCGAGTCAGATGTATCGTCTCCTTTGCTGTTGGTTAAAGATGGCAGCACAAACAACTGAGACAAGAGGGCGAAAAGCAGCACTGTTGACAGTCTGGGCGTCATTGATAAAGTCTTATCTGGTTATGGACCCTTCACACAAAAAAGAAAGAGTTCATGTCAGGTGATATTCAAATGGCACTGAAATTACAATTTATATGTTCATGTACTATGAATGAAGTCATTTTTCTAAACGTCACAAAAAACAAGTCAGTGCTACACAACATTGTCAACAAACAACACTCGTGAGATTAAAACTCATCGCAGTATATCATGCAGACGACGATTGTTGGTAAAGGCCTGATGTTTGTAATTAACCTGGCATACTTGTAATAAGAGCTTACCACGTCCTCTTTAAATGGAGAAACGAAAGCAGCATTTTTAAAGACCGTGTAGTGGTGGGAGTGCATTCAACTCAACCCAAAATGATGGAACATTCACGGGCAGCACTTCCAAACCTATACGACAAGTTAGTATGTGTTTACTTTGTTCTATATCTCGATTTATTTGAATTTTTTTTATTAATTCAAAACTTACCCAAGAATATACAAGTAAAGCCGCAGAAGACTCCTTATACGCCTTGGTAGCGCAGATATAAGTCAGGGTGGTTTTGCGCCGAAAGGCCGTTCGTACAAATCTCAGTCAAATTAAGGTGTATGCTATCAGTGCACTCCGACATGGTTGAGAATAATTATATCCATTATTATCAGACATCTATTTTTAATGAAGGGCAGCTGTTGTTTATTGACCGTACTAGCTGACCAACAGCGAGAAAATGCAATGACTTTGGACTCCTATGTCCACTATCATATCATAATTGGTCAACAACCAAAATCAGATAATATCGTACCTTGATCTTCGAAGCAGTGGCGTATCCAGAGGGGGGGGGGGGCTTTGTGAAAGATATTTTTTCAGTAACTATTTCCATAAATGGTTAGAGAGTTCTGACATGAAAATAAGGAAAGAAAACCAAGCTCCAAAACCATCACAATCCGCCGTGAAAATCGGCATATATTTTCCAGTATATATGCATAATAATGGTCAGTTTTGAAGAGCGCCCCCATTTGGAAGATGGGTACCCCCCCCCCCCCCGCTTTTTCAAGTGTCCGGAGAAGAAAAAAACATGTCTACATTTCGGCGCAGATGTGCGACTGCGGCCCCCCCCCCCCCCCCAGTGGCGTAGCAGGTTCAATTTGATTTTTTTTGGGGGGGGGGGTTAGACGTGAAAAAGGACACTCGCCTCATCCGTGCCGGGACAATAGTCAATGGACAACGTGTGGCGCTTTCCAGGCCAACGTTTGCGCCACGTTATAAAAATGGTCACTCTTGAAAAAAGGGCGTTCTTGAAAAAAAGTCACGAGCCTTTTTTCAAAAGTCTTTTTTTACGAGTGCCTTCTTTCAAGAGAGCCCTTTTTCACGAGTGCCCTTTTCCCCACGAGCGCCCATTTTCCCACGAGTGGCCTTCTTCATGAGTGCTCTTTTTCTCGAGTTTCCTTGTTCCACTAGTGCCCTTTGTTACTAGTGCCATTGTGAAAAAAGGCCACTCATTACAAAATGTTGGAAGGGGGATACCCCCCACCCCGTCCGCTGGCTACGCCACTGCTTTAGAAACTATTTCGTATGACCATGAAATTGTGAGGTCCTTAAATATTTGTCTTAGCTTGAGGTAAGGCCACTCTCAGGTTTGTTGAATTTAAACCTTTTTTCACACACTTTGCTGTGCCATATTAATTTTAGGCCACGTTGGTATCAACAGTGTCAAAAATTAGTCTCCTGCAGGTGGACCTACATAAAAAGCTAAGCAGCGGCGTGTGGGTCAATTGAAATTCAACTTGATGTGACAGACAAACAAAATGTTTACCTCAATAGTACATTTTTTAAAAGAGCAGTTGACAACATAGGCCTACACGCAGTTTTGTAATTTCATTTAAAATTGTACATTGCTGTGGTGTCAGTTTCTCTGAGGACTCGATACAAGACTGCGTAACCAACTGCTATCATGTGTAAAGTCCAAATTTGCCAATAACTTCCCGGAACTAAGACTATAACCCATCGGATACGCAACTGATGCAGATACTCAGTAAGGCCTGGGTCAAATTGGACCCGAATCAGGATCATATGACCTGATACATTTCAGGGTCAAAATGACACTTTTCCGGGTCAAAAGGACATTTAATTCTCTGACTGAATCATTTGTTACCCGGAAACCTTGGCAAAGGAGTTTTTGACCTGGAAAAAATCTGCGATTGCTGATGTCCTGAAAGCGCAGCGGGGGGTCTACCATTCAAAACGGGTATAGCTTCTGCCTGAAATGTGTTTGTTATTGTACTTATGAAAATGGAAATTTAATAGGCATAAAACCAATCCGCAGCGGATTGGGTGTTTAACTGCTACGGTTGTTTCACTTCAAAATGAAAATGACGTTGACCGGCAACAAAACAGGTGCATTTTCCTAAAAATAAATTAAAAAAAGAAAATTCGTTTGCATATACCTTTTCTACTGCTCATGCTCGGACGTCACTAGCATATGCACGTAACAAACAAGTTGGGCTTCACTATTATCACCCATTGCGAAAATATAGACAATGGGGCGAATGCATAAAAACTAGCAAATTCTAGGAAATTTAAGCAAAAAGTATTTACTTTGGAGCAAATACATGAAGGAAAAGCAAATGCTTGAATCCGTATGAATCAAAGTTTCCCTTTACTGTTCCAGGCGCGGATCCAGGAGGGGGGGGGGTCCCCAACTCTGTGAAAAATTAGTTTTTTGGGTCATAGAAATTCATACACAATAATGCTACACCCCCTCCCTGCTCTGACACCCAAACACAATTATAAAATGGTATTAACATACGCCTGTGCGCAAAAGACGGACAGAGCCTGCTGGGTGACGGGAGTTTTAGTACACTATTAGGCTATGTAATATAACCGTCGGATTTGAACAGCGCCCCCATTGAACTTATGTAACGAGCCCCCCCCCCCCCCCCCCCCCGCTATTGATTTTACGAGCCCAAGTGTCTGGACAAAAAAACTGTCTACATTTCAGCATTGATTTGCTAATGAACCCCCGCCCCCCCCCTGCAAAAATTTCAGGATCCGCCCCTGTGTTCAGCATTTAAAACAGGTATGGTCTAGTAGCAAATGATTCTCACTGTTGGATTGTTTTCATCATTGGACGAATGGTTGTTAACAATAGGGTCTCTTTTGTGTGTACGAACTGTCATTTGATCCTTACATCCAGCAAAAATGATGAAGACAATTTTCGCCAGTTGAAGAATACAGAAAGTATACTTTCATCATTCATGAAAATTGTAAAGGTCCAAAGTGTCCTGTAGACGTCACAATTGCATAAAAAATCACAGACACGTGTTAAAGCAAGTAAAATCATACCAAAAATTCAATGCACAAAGGTTTTTGTTTATTGAAATATTAAAATAACTATAGTTTGCAAAGATTGGTGACCTAATGAACTAAACAATGTTTTCATTTCGTTTAGTCCCTAACCTTTCACCAAGGCCATCGTGGCCTCTCTCATCCGCATTCAAAGCGGCGAAAACGCGAAGCGACTGGAGATGGAGACCCCACATGCGAGTGGCAAAGCCACGAGGGCCTTTTGCAACTTGTCTAGAAATTCTTATGTTTTTCTTTATAATCTCGATTTTTGCTACCCCAAAAGGGTAGCAAAATTTCAACCAATCATCAGCCTGTTTGTGCGTGCGTGGCTACTACCCGGACGCGTCGACGCGTCCGGATGCTTGCACAAAATTTAAAAACAAAAAATGCGAGTCCAGTTTTCCACGAGATCGTGACCGCGTAATTGTTCTTACATTATCTTATTTTAACTGTACTTATAAAGGTATTTCAAGAAACTATTTGAGGGTATGAATTTATTTTTCATCTGAACTTACAGTTATTTTCTCTTACGTTTTCCTTACTCACCCTTCTTTTAAAAATGAAGCGACTAGGCAAAATCCGCGTTGTGATTGGTTAACCTTCAGCACGCTTCTTATTTGCATAAAAATTATGAATAATTCAACAAAATCATGTTGTAAAAGGCCTCGTGGCTCTGCCACTCGTGCGTGCTTAGTTAATCTTTGCTCCAGTCGCTTCGGGTCTTCGCAACTGCTCCGCTCTAAGCCACGATGGCCTGGGCGAAAGGCTATTTAGTCCCCGGAGTGCCGTTGGATAACAATTTCTCGTTAATCATTCTATGCCGCACTGAATTTTACGCTGACACTTCGCATATCGTGCACAAAATGCGAAATAATCGTTTCTTCTAGTAATGGAATTAATAATAATAAAAATACTTAAATTTCACGTAAATGTTATTCAAAATAAAGTGTATGATATTATAATAGTTTATTACCGTTTTGTGTTATTTTTGGCGCAATTACTATTAATACAGGCAGCAATTATTGCGCAGCAGTATTTGCTTTATATTTTCAGGATACCTCCAACCCAACCTTGAAAAATGACCAGTAAATGCTTGAAATCTGAAGCATTTACTCCTTTTTATTCATACAAAATAAAGTAAACACTTATAGTCTAGCAAAAGCTAAAAAGTAAATACTTTTAGCTTTTAGCAAATGCTTTCCAGTAAAAGCATTTGCCTCAATTTTATTCATACAAATGCAAGTAAATGCTTAAAAATAGGAAGTAAAAGCAAATGCTATTTTTTTAAAAACACATACGACCCATTATCTTGTGGTTAATTAAAGCCAGTCAATTCTTATACACTATCATTTGACTGAGTTTTCTATTAACCCTAACTCCCTAGGGGGTGTGCAAAATCATATTGAAATTGGAGGATTCGGGACTGAATAGGGCTATCGGATAAAATATAATAGCTGAACTTGTATTTGAGGTGAAGGTCCGGGAACGACGCTTGCAATCGGATCGAGTGCCTTTCAAGAGGCCTGCCTCTTGAGGGTCACTCAGTCTTAATATGACATGGTTTGTTAATACCCTCTTTGACATTAAAACTCTGTTGTTAGACTCTTTTCTGCCAAGCACTTAGGCAACCTCATGATTGCACGGATCTCAACTTATACACTGTATGTTGGTTCCGACTTCCTTCCTATATGGAGGACTTCCTGTCCATTTTGTTGAAACGTTCGGGGACGATTCATTCGGAAGAATGAAGTTTTTAAACGGCCCAAGAGAACTGATGCACGCTACAGTGAATCTAATACGATTATATGTCCGGCGACAACATCTTCCCAAAGGGGGTACATTTACCATGATCCCATTAAAATGGCACAGAATCCAGTTAATACATGCATTCACGTCACAAGAGTATGTGTGATGACAATGGGATTCCCATAGGTAACGTCCATGTACATAGGGTCATTTTCTGCTAATGTAATAAATGCACTCTCGCTAATTACGGAAAACCTCGGCAATGGCGAAACTGTTATGTCGGCAGCCTTTTAAGGTAACCGCCCCCATGTGACAGCATTATACGCTTTCATACGTAAGGAACATTACAAAAGGCCTAAAGCCCGTTGAATTCAACTGGGGATTCGATAATGGTATTTAAAAGCAGAAAATACGTGCTGCCTGAACAGTTCCACCTACTCCACAGAAGCATTTTCCTTCACTCCAAGAAAACAGTGAAGATTTCAGGTAATACCAAATAAAAAAATGGGTACTTGCGATTTGGCGAAGAATATTTACTTGCTTGTTTTTCACTTGCTGATGATGATGCTGGGAGTGCCGGGTAACTGCCTCATCCTCCGTGTGTATTGGAGCAAGCTGCGTAAGACTAGCACCCATGTTCTCATCATGGGCTTAGCCTGGGCCGATCTCCTGGCCTCTGCGTTTCAGATCTTCAGGATCGCCTCCAACTGTCTGCTCCTCGAGCAGGCACCGCCAGCCTACAAAAACTGCACAGACTACTTCCTGCACACTGCAATCGGCACCTCGGCCCTGATAACGTGCGTCATTGCGTTCGATCGCTACGACTGCGTCTGCCGGCCGCACCACCGTCTTCTCAGCCGTAAGAGGGCGATGATAGCCGCGGTGTGCTGCCTGGCTACGGACGCCACCGTCAATTCGCCAGAGATCCTGGAGGTCTTCCATCCCTCTGGCCTCACGTCAGTGATTCTGCTGACCTTCCAAATCTTTACCTGTTTCTCTGCAGCTGTGCTGATGGTTGTGTGTTACAGCAAGGTTTACACAACCATACGCGAACACGTCAAAGTTGGCGTTGCAAGCAGCATCAGTGGACGTGTCCGAGACAGTTCCGCACAACAATCAACACAGATTGTATCATGCTACACATCCGAGGCCAACAGTATCACACTGCAATGCAAGTCTAATTGTAACGCACCCTCGTCAGCTAAGTTTGCTCCCTCAGCTGCAACCGAAGAGGACAAGGGAGAAGAAAGCAATCCTACCCCCTCGGACAAACCCACGAGCCACATCAGAGAGGCATCCAAGGCTCCACGTGGACCCCAGGCGGGAGCCTCTCTGCAGCAACCAGCAACCAAGCTGGAGCGAAAAACCACCAGGATGTTGCTGATATCCAGCGTGGTGTTCCTGATATCCTGGCTGCCGTACATCGTCTACATCATCCTCAACCTCTCAGACCTACAACGACATGGCGCCATCTCGCCCACTGCTCTGCTGGTAGTGCACCTGGCCACGTACTGTGTGTACATCAACCACGCCGTCAACCCAATCATTTACGGAGTGGCCAACAGGCGATTTCGAGAGGACTGCAAAAAGGAACTGAGGAAATTAAGATGTTGGTAAAACCGTTCCACAGAACAATAGAACAAGCCGTCTGTGACGTCATGCCAACATGCAATCGACAGGTAAATGTTAGCCCTAGAATTGTTCGCTTGGGTTTTTTTTGGCCTTCAGTGAAACAAAGTCAACACTTTTGTAACAGCTATAATTTTTAAGAGGTACACATGCAGTTCAAAATAGAACGGTTTTCTATTCCATTTCAAAGTCATGATGGCCTTTGGCGTCCCCCCCCCTCCCTGCAATCCTTTGTTGGGGGGGGGGGGGGAGGTGCCGATATATGAGCCAACAGGGATGACAGTTAAAATCACATTAATGCTAGCTATGTTAACAGTGGTAAATACACGTACAAATGTCCTTAGAGACTGCAATCTCGGAGATAGCATCTTCGTCAAAATAATTAAACCACGACTTGCGTTTTAATCTCTCACTTCATGATTTATTAGCACTTATCGAATATCAACCTATCAATTCAACCAATATTTGTGTAAATGAATTATATTCTATCCACCGTCACTATATTATATCTTATTACACCTCACCCAGAGATTCTGTGTCTTGATTGGCCGAGAGCGAGTCACTCATGGTACTTGCTATTTTGCTATCTTTCAGTGCACGGCCAAAGTACTATACCCATAGCAACCAAAGTACTATACGCACCGTGTGCAAAATGCATTGGAGCACGTTTCGCGTTGCGCGTGTTGTGTCGAAGCGCGGACGTTACAGAGCTGGGTTCAAACATTTCGTGAAGGGGTAGTTAGAAAAAGTGCAAGTAAATTTTCCACTAATTTCGTATTCAAATAGAAGTACATTTTTATTGTATTCAAATTAAATTAATCAGTCGCTTAAAATCAAGCAGAATCTGTGGGAAAGGTGTTATAGAACAAATACTGACTGCTTTATCTCGTGTTGTAGTAAAACTATCCTCCCTCTGTGATCCATGGAACATTCTATTTTCCCGAGGCGATGCTCAATGGATCACCTCGGGCCGTATGAGTTTTACTACACCACTCGAAGCAGTCAATATTTGTATACTAACCAAGACTGCTAGTTTAGGTTTCAGAGTGGATATATATCTTCCTTACTGGTAAGGCCGGTCCCCAACAAGCGCTGTGAAGCCACCGCTGCTGAAGAGGTCGCTGTCAAAGAGATGAATCAAATCAAGTCTTGCGAACTAGGGCAATGCTACCCCAAAATTCCGGGGATACCTCTTCACGTGCGTTGTTTCAAGCCAATTCACACGCCTGGGTACGCTCGGAATGTCCAGGGTAGTGCTGCCAGCCAGGGACCGGCTTGTGAGATCCAGCTGAATCCAGTCTTGGATCAAGACTACATCACTACCAGCAAACGTTGCTGGAATAATTATCCTTAAAAATCCCCCAATGGAAAACCTACATACACAAAATGGATACTCAGTAAGAATAGCCAGTTAAGTATTTTTGGTATTAATATGCATCCGCTTTTATTGTATAACTCTTCATATATTCTAGGAAATATTTTATGTAACACAGCACGATGTAAGTCATAAAAACACCACTCCCAAAATAACCCAAAAAATTTACAAAGTCATTCATTGAAAAAATAACTCGTAGTGTACATGGGCATCTTCAGGATTTTTTCTAGAGGGGGGGGGGGAACATATTTTCCCAAAAAAATCCTGTATTTCTCAACATATTCTCGATTTCTCAGTTTTAGAGGGAGGCAGGAACATTTTGCCCCCCAACTCATTAAATTTACACCACTATGACTTTGCGCCTCTTTTTCTTTTCTTTTTTCTTTTTTTTTCTTCCCTTTTTTTCTTTTTTTCTTCTTTTCTTGCCCCCCCCCCCTCGCGACGCCCATGGTAGTGTGCAATATTTTTGACATTCGATTATGTTGATTGTTGATATCCACCTGCGTTTCCGATTAAATTATGAGTACATACATGTGGAATAGTGGTATCCTTGGAAAATATGCACACATTTTCTTAGTGAAACGTTGTGACCTTCGACATGGCGAAGCATGACTGCATTTAAAGACACGTGAAAAAAATCAGTCTATTTCAATCATCATCTTCTCTTGCTAACTTATCTCGGCCAAACTTTCCTTTGGTTTCAAGATCGCCCCTCAGATTCAAAATTTACCCACTTTCGCAAAAAGGTAAGCCGTTGAGAACATGTCTGGTAAGCTTCTTTAAAATGTGATGTAAAAAGAGCAATGAATGAAGGTTCACGTGATTATTTGAGATTTACCGATTGCCTCGTTTCATCCAACTTCACTTAATTTCCAAGATTTCACTCCAATCTTCATGTACATGCCACTGGCTTTTTCTTGTAAACCATCCATTTGCACCCACTGGCATCTCTGTTTTACAAGCTTTCATTCAAAAATTATTACAAATATAGCTATGAAAAAGGTACGTAAGCATCCGTTGACATCATCATATTTGTTCCTCGTGCGCCGTTCTGGTCCTCGTCATTTGCTGGCACGTTCCCAAGTGCTTCGATGATCCCCTCGTAGATCTTGATCCCGGCCAGGAACACCTCCTCGTTCAGGAACTCGTTGTTGTCGTGCAGGAGGATGGGCGTGTTGTTCATTGGGGAGAAGCCGAGGCATTGGTAGCCGGCCGCCCGAAGGAACCGACTGTCAGTGGCTGCTGGGAACACCTGGACCTCAATGTCCATATCCCTGGATGGAATAAATGAGAGAACCAGTTGTGTTTGAAGCTAGAGTCCATCATTTGCAGCTATCCAAAAAGTAACTGGCGTAAAGTTATTGTTGAAAAACATACTTGGTTGAAAGATAGTAAGGGGACTATAAACTCTCTGTGAAATTATTCTTTCTGGCAAGCTGTCATTTTGAAGAAATCAACGAAAGAAGGCCTTTCCAACGATGCATCTTAAGAAGATCTTAAATCAAATCCTAGAATATTGTTTTACGCGAAATATACAGCTGAAGCTGAAACTTCATCAGGTTAGTTGTTCAGCACCCTGCTTTAAATTTTGAGCACTTTGTTGCTTCAAACGAACAAAATGCACAAATTACAAATGATGGATTATACCTTTAACAATATGTACCACACTAACGGTTACAACTGATAACTTGATGGCTGACACATGGGAGGAGGATTTCAAAGCAGCTTTTTCGCTAATTTGAGACATTTCTGTACTATTCGTGATTGCACTGATAAATAAGCAGGCTGATTCACTGGATATGTAGGAAATTACTAGGTCATCTTTAAGATGAAATGAAGGATAATGTTCATAACACAGACAGACATTCTTGAATCATACTTTATATTGTTATGATTAATCCAGCCCTTGTTCCATTTGTATTACTTGTTCAGTGTAGAATTGTTATCATTCAACATTAAAGCAACCTGTTTAGTATTTATGAAATTAGGATGTGACTTGATACATGTTATGAACATGAAGTCTGGAAGATGTGCCTAAAAGTACCCTGTCATTCAAAATACCTAGATGTTTAACCTAAGATTGGCCAGTGGCAATCCCTCAAGTGATAGCTTTACATTAGGAACAAAATTTGCGATAATTCATTGATTTCATTTACTGCTTCCCAACACTTAAAAATGAAATGTCTGTCCATGATTAATGCACAACATTAATCGAGATACCAAACTGGCTTTAAAATTACAAGTCCATTACAAGGCCCATCACAAAGAAATCACACATCCAGTCACAAAGTACCAGGGGATGCACTGTGATGAGGGAATGCTTCTGTCAAAGTTTAATGAAACACCTTGCGAGTGGACATGAGTCTGAGGGACTGGACTTGATGTGAGAATTTGTGATGGACTTGACTAATATACACTGAAGTAAAAGGTCCAAATACGTCATGATCAGTGTCACTGTTCATCATCAGCTATAGCAGGCATGCAACTGGGAATTAAGAAAAAACAAGGAAATTCCAAACCACACAAGACTTTGTACAGTACTAGTGTTTTTCAATTTGGAATGGCATTCATGAGAAGTAAAAAAAGAGGAAATCAGCGGATCCGAGGAAAAGTTGCATGCCTTCTATAGGTTGTCTACACTCACATTTCTTTGCAAGCCCCTTCAAAGGCCTTCCACCAGACATTCTTGTCTCCGATTTCGGTAATACGGACAACATTTTTCTGAAAAAAAGAGACCAAATAAAACCTGAGTTCTAACCGGTCAGCAATTTTTCTGCCAACATGTTTAATGCTTCGGGGAAAAAAAATACAGAAAAAGTTTTACCGCTCTCACTGTGAATGAAAACAACAACATCTATTCACTCTTGAAATAGGATGAAAAAAATATATAAAAAAAAAACACAAATGAGGCAAGGCCACACCAGACAAATTTTACAGGCAAGTTGGAGGCAAACAACTCCCTGGAGCAATGAAGTGCGTTTTTTTTCCATTGTACAGCTTGTGGAAATTCCACTGACTGTTACTGGATTATGTAATTTGCCTGTCCACCCTTTAGGAGATTGCCTGGAATAGGTTGCCTGTAAATTGCCTCATGTGACACAGCCCTTCTCTAACACCAAAGTCTGTGGAGGCGGACCGTGTGTTGATCTGGAATTGGCCCTATTGTTGTACAATTTACGCTCCAGTGCACAACAAGGAGTATTGAAACATATGAGGTTTCGGCAAAAAAAATCGTCCAAATACTGTTGAAATAACTCTTGTGAATCATTATTTGTAGCGTTTGGTTACATATCAGAAGTTGGCTGAAATTAATTTTTTTGGGTGCAAATCAAAATTTTCGGCAAAAATAATCCCGGTGCGAAGTGGTTAAACCAGAGAATTGAGAGTTACCACTGGCAGGGACTATTTCACACGAGTTTGTGCACAACCAGTACATAGGGGCCTCTAGAATTATGCTTTAATACTGACACATGGCAATGCTTTCCCTACTGGAGCTCTCATGGTGTACTGCTGTACTGCTCATGTACCGCTCATACCTCAGCACAATTGTAGTCGATAGTCTTAGAGAAGAGACACCCTTCCCCTTCAACTCCACCCTACACCTCCCCCAAATTACCTGGACAAAATGATAAGTGACTCCTTCTCCTGCCTCACTCATCCACTTTGCAATCTTAGCCTCCAGCTCCTGAAAATGAAAGTCAGAAAAGGCAATCAAAGTTTAATTTGAAGGAAATGAAGGACAAATTAGCGAAACTGCAACTTTCCCATGCAGTGTTTAGATGGTTCCATATCTAGCAAACACTGCACAATAACTGCTGCCTTCCCCAGATTTTTTTGTGTAAAGAGGAACACTCAAGGAAATCATGATTTTAAAATTGGGTTGAAAGAGTGTGTTCACGGTGTGAGCAAAATGAGTTTTTTTCTAAGAGTTTTCTTAACCATACAAAAACAAAATTAAAATTTAAAAGGAAAGTCCACATGTAGTCCAGACTAGGTATGTGAGGTAAACCTAGCGGGAGAGGAAGTCGGGCAAAAGGTGCGGAAAGGATTGTCATGCATGTAGCCAGGGTTTTGTTCGCTTGTTGCAAAATAAAATTTTTGTCCTGTAAATCCATTTTTCCACTCCCTTTTCCTTGAATCAGTGTCTCAATTTTGCTTTTGAAATCTCTAGTGAAATCACTAATGACTGTACGGCAGTTCTGTACAGGTCCAGCCAATGATAATCTACAGTGAGTATAGTATCATTAAAACAAAATTGTTTACAACAAAATAAAATTGTTTACAACAAAATGGTGAAAAGAAATCCTTGGTCTTGACCATTGCAATTATATGAACAATCAGTGGGATATACGTCATGATGGAAACATCTCTTTATACTGATATGTCAAGCTTAGGCCAAAAAAAATAAATACTCAGTCTCTGGTCAGCGCGGGCGTCAATTTTAATCATGCGCGTCAACCTTTTTTTTTCTTCAAGTTAACACGGAACTACAACAGCGCCCTCTGTTGCCGCACCTCCTCAAATGTTTGTACCAAGGAATGGGGAAATTGCACCAAGGCAAATGATAAAGGGCACCAAGGCAAATTATGGAGGACACCAATGTATAATGAGGACACAAAAAAGCAAAATAGTACCCACCTTGTCTGTACAATTCAAGCTTGAAAAAAAAAAGGCACCCCCCCAAAAAAAACCCCACGTAACCGCATCAATTCTGGAACTTCGGTCTGACCAGCGACCGACTACATTTTTTTTTTGGCCTTATGCTGAGTTTCATTTTGGAACAAGGCATTTGATACACATGTAACAGGCAAATCAAATGATTAGACAGCTGAACATAAATTGGGGAAAAACAGATCATCAGATGGCCTCAAAAACGACAACTCTATCATACCTTCACATCAGTGCCTGGGGAGACGCGAATGTCGAACGTAGCGTTGAATTCTGTTGGCACCACGTTGCAGGCAACGCCGCCCTGCCAAAAACAAACAAAAACTTCTTGGCTGAAGCAAATGCAACAAATGTACCTGTGTGTCAATGTCAGGTGCAACACGGATGTAAAATGTAGCATGAAATTCAGACGGCAAAGTGTTAGGGGCGTGATCTTCACCTCCCAGGTTGAAAGAAAGTACATAAAGCAAATACTTTCAACATTCCATAGAAACATTATGCTGTCTATAAGCATGAACAAATTTGTTTTCGTTTTTTTCGGTATGTGCTGGTTATAGCCTTGTAGGATAATTTACAATTAACTAGGAAAGTGTCTACCAATTTAAAAACCTCGCTCAAAGTGAAGATAGGACTGGCATAAATTACCCTGTGAAATTGTTCTGCTTGAAATGATATCGTTTGGAAGAAAAACTAAAATGGAAGGTTGTTTAAAAGTAGCGTGCCCGCGGGCCCATTTGTACATGCATTACCAACAGAATCTAGTTGCTAGATCCAAAAACTTCTTTTCTCCATTTAAAAAAAAAACAAACTTTAATCCTAACCCTCCTCAATCCTCCTCAATCCTCCTGCCGGTTTTGGATGATTTTAGAGGATTGAGGATGAATGACAAAGATGTATCGCATTTTTGTGGAGGATGCATTACGTCAAGCCAGTTGGCCATATCCTGCATTGGTTATGTTCAACCATGCATAAATCAGCCCTGTGTTTTTCTCGTATTTCATGGGCGCTGCACGCCATTCGCACTGCCTCATACAAACCATAGCAGTAATTGGCAGAGGATTTTGGAGGATTGTGGCAGTGGTCACCCTCCACAGACTAAATACAAGAAATAACGGATGATTTGGGAGGTTTGAGGCTGAATCAAACTTTTTTTTTGGTGGCAATTGGAGGATTTTGCAGGATTGAGGTTGCATCTTAGTTAGAGGGCCTAGGGGGTTATAAGGGTTAAAACTTAACACTGTTCTCCACATGCACAGCACGTTAGGCACAAGTAATGATCACACATCCAAAATCACAAGTAACAGTGGACACGACACAACAGAGGAATGCTCTTGTCCCATTTCATCTGAACAGCTTATGACTTGACTTAACATGTCAGACTGCATGACTTGTGATGGACTTGTGATGGACTTGTGATGGACTTGTTCGTGACCGACTCTATTACAAACTGCATAAAACATGAAACAATAGGCCTTTGAACTAATGAGTCACACTTTGTTCACGTGTGTGCTTTCTCAGTGGAGCGTGGACCCCCACTGGCTCTATGGGAAAAAAGTGCACATGTACACAATGTGTGACGTCATTAGTACAGAGGCTTATTGTTGTTGGCAGCTAAAATGTGGATGATGTTTCAGTATTAAGGCAGTGCAACTTTAACAAGTTTTAGTGGGGTAGTTAAATTTGTAACATGATGTTCTGCTCTCTCAAAATACATATTTTAAAATCCTGCTGAAAGCAAGAAATGAAATAAAAAATGCATACATATAGTTTTCGTTAGAAAAATTGGCAAGTTACCTTGAGGATAGTTAAATTCGTTGATGTGACATCACCAAGAGTTGCACATCCGACCATTCTAATAGAACCAGAAACAAAAGGCAAATATATTGTAAAAAAAAACAATATTATGAAATAATAAAAATGTATTGAGAGGCCCATATAACATTGGATGGCTTTCAGGGGGATGCACAAGTCGAAGGCGAGTGCAATATTGTCATAGCGAGTGCAATATTTTCTTGTGTCCCCCGTAAAAAAGGCCATCCACTTATCAAATTTATCAAATATGCGATTTCAAGAATCATCGTCACGATAGACCATTATCATCGTGTGGCCATCTTGATTTGTTCCCATTCAAATAAACGTAACCAAAGCAAGGTTGGAAGGACAAATAGTCTGGTTTCTTTTTGAATAAAAAAACATGATCATTTAGTACTGTTATTGGAAACAGGGAACATGACTGACATGGTGGCAGCATGATAAAGGTCTATTGTCTTCAAACATCGCCAGCGATAAAAGCTCAGTTTTTATGAAGGCCAGTCCTTTGAAGAAAAAAAGGCGGATTATATAAATCATATTGTTTGCCTAAGAAGGGTTGTTGTGTACTACAGTTGTTGACAGTTATTGAAACCAGTATTCTGTGTCATATACTTTGTTGTAAGAACACACAATAAATTGCTTTATTTTTGGTGCTCAAAATAAAGCAATTTGACTGAAACCTTGCCCTACATTGACAATTCAACCAAAGGCGACCAAAAGAACAACCTGAACAGAAATTCCCAAAGTTGTGAAAGTCTTTCACCCTTTTCATCTTTTTTTTTTGATATTTAATTTGATATTCTCACCGTTTTCAGTTCATGTTTTTAGCAATTTAGAAGAGCAAGGGGATTCAAACTTACTTGGCTTTTTCTTCGCCTCGAAACTCAAGGAAAGAGTTGATTACTTTTTGCTGAAACAAAACAAATATACAGTGCATTACTTTTTGGCTTTCAAAGCCCAAAGAACAATGTTTGTCCAACGGGCACTGTACATGTAGACATGAAAACACTTTCGCAAGGGTACTGCATCTTCAGAACGGGAGGAGCAATGGATCTCTATTATACATTGGATACCAAATGAAAGCTTACATTTGTATGTTGCGGGCTTTTCAACTCAATTTCACTTTTTTGGGGACAATACCCTTTTTGTGGAGCAGGTCACATTTTTCTAGGGAGTGAGACAAGATATATTTTACTATTTTTATTTTTTTATCATTTTACTTATTTTTTATGAATACCAGTTTAGCCCTGCAAATGTACTCCCACTTGCACTCGGGGAAAAATTTTACCTTGTACTCGTACTCGTATTCATGGCAAGGTACATATACTTGTTCTTGAAGACAAAACAAAGTACTCGTAACAAACTACTTGTTCTCAGGGAAAAGTACTTGAGTGGACAGCATAGTGTGACAGTGACTGTAAAAGAACAAATATTTCTGAAGTTGCTGCTACTTTTCCTGAGTTTTCTGAGAAAACTAAAAACACACCAACTTTTCGGCAGCTGTGTTCTCAATGAAGCGTGACCCATGGCCTGGATTTCCCTCACATTTCACCTCCAACCCTTCCAGAAAAAAAAAATACAGTTCAAAACACACACTTTTTAAAAATAAAGATTAACAAGAGCCAACCAAGGACAATGGAGGGGGATATTGTTGTTCCACCAGAGTATCAGAGTAAAAATGTGGGTTTTTGGGGGACACCAAATCAGCCGTAAAAAAAAATAATAACTTTAGAACAAAACCAAAGTTGCTACAGAATATCCAACAAAAGTTTTTTTTCTCAGGTTCACATAAAAAAATAACAGATTTTGAGCTGAACAATTTGTTTCCCTTGTTTCAAGAAACCCTTCTCTCCTCCGATGTAGACACGGCTTCAAACACTTGGCAATTCAGATGCTACCACAAGTGATGTCGTCGGGTCCATCACAAGTCCCTGCAAGTACATCACAAGTCCATCACAAGTCCAGTCACTAACCATTCCAATGAACTGTTACAAAAGCATTCCTTTGTCATTGTTTATCCTGTTACTTGTGACTGGACATGTGACTGGACTTGTGACTGGACTTGTAAAAAGGACTTGTGACTGAACTTTGTGAAAGGACTTGTGATGGACTCAACTACAACATTGGCTACCACGTGGTAAAAAGAAAACAAATTGGTAAAAAAAAATAAGCGATTATGATAACTTTCTGTCCGACTCTAGGAGGGGCTTAATGCTAACATTAACTCCCTAGGCATGTTTGCTAAAATGCAACCTCAATCCTGCAAAATACTCCAGCTGCCGCCATGTAAAAATAGCATACAGCCTTGATCCTCCAAAATCCTGTGTTATTTCTTGAATGTGGTCCGTGAAGGTGTTACCATTGCCTCAATCCCGCAAAATCCTCCAGCAATCACTGTCAATATGTTGAGGCAGAGCCAGTGACATTCTGGAGCAGTGCGGAGGATTTCAAGTATAATCTGGGCCTTAATTTATGCACGGCTGAGCATAAACAACACAAGTTCCAGCCTGAGACCTTGACACAGTGTATCCGGCAAAATCTGCCACACATTGTTGCCATATGCCATGTAGCCTCAATACTGCGAAATCCTCCATTTAAGCAAAGAGGATTTTGGAGGATTCCGGAAGGTTAGAGTTAATGATAGGAATTCTTACACCATTGTGCCCGTTCTCCATTGTACACAGTAAACTTGTTGGTAGGGTTGGCCAAACCTGGAGAAAAAATGATAAAAATTCAAATAATGGCATGGATGGGTTCCTTTCCTTTGACGAGTTTTTGCTGGTCGCAGAGGGCCTAGAGCCTAGAGTCCTCTTTGTACCTATCTATCTGACTGATTGATGGAAATAAAGGCTATCGAAGAGGAAAATTGAAACAAAATTGAAATATGATCCTTTCATGAACAAGATGTCCTCAAGATTCGTCCAAAAAAATTGTGCAAGTTTAGCAGAAATTTACCTTCGTCAAGACCGAACCCCATGTTGAGTCGTAGGAATGATGGATGATCCACAAACTTCACCATTCCCAGAAAGCCCCCAACCTCTTCATCTGCTCAATTAAAATATACAAACAATGAATTCCAACAATGTTTAACATTTCAGCAGGAACAAACTTGTAACTGAATAATTAATAAGTTCACACAAACATTCTACTTGTCTGAGAATGTCAGACACCATGGTATGTCCGACACCATGTGTTATGAGCCAATCTTCTATTACAGCAAAAATGTTGGATGAATCATTTCTTTCTAAAATCATTGTAGTAAATACAAAGTCCACTTTATGATTATAAGTTTCTAAATCTGTGGAATTGTCCAAAGCGTTCGTCAGACACGTACCGTGGAACTTCCCAAACTGTACAAAAGGACAACTGGGGGATTTGTTTACATCAGTGACGAGCCACCCCAAAGTTAGGGTGGATTTCCTGCACACATATACCCTGCAGTTTCAGTGACCCAGCCTGTTTTATTCGCATGTGCACCACACATACCAGTACCCATTTTAGAAAGAGTTCCATACCTGGACATCACTTGACACCCTGTGCACAAACCCTATGAGACTGGTCTGAAAAATTCCCAGTGTCTTCTCAGTAAATGCTTCAATATTTTCTCCGCTAAACTGACTTTTTAGGACATGTTATCGCTTTCTGATGGCTGATTATTAGTGATGTCCATAGGAATGTGCACAATTTGTTTCAAAACAGAGGATTCATATTGTTACAACTAGATAACTGTAATGAAAGTTAAGTTGGCTGTACATGTACTTTCATGTTTCTGCATTTCACCGTGAAATATAGCAATAAAAAAGTTATTCATTGTTTAAATAGACAGGAGACGAAAAGAATCGGCCCACATTAAGTCATTGAATAATTTCTTGAAAATTTAATTAATTGCGGCACGACAATATTTAGTTCTCGTAGGGTAGACTGGTTCCCGCCCCACTATCAGACTCAATAGTGCAAGGACTGGGAACAGTCTACCAGCAAAGAAGATCTGTTTGTGCACACAAGGAACCCAATAAAGCCTAGTGTCCATATCGAGGTAAGAAACACAGAGAGCAACGCAAGCAAGACTCAAATCATATTGCAACACAGACATGGAAACGTTTCATACAGAAATGTCATTGACAACCCAGACAGACGCAAACTATCTGGCAGACGATCAGCATAGTTAAACCCGGTTCTTCTTTGCTGACGATTCCGTGCACAATCTATGCAGTCCATGTAAGCTGAACGTCAATATGGAAACAATAAGGGCTTCTTTCTAGAGGGTTGCAGGCACCCTTTAAAATAAGCATACAATATGACCATTTTACGGGACCAAAAATAAGAAGAAAATTGTTGAGGGTCATGGACACTACATTTTCAATGTGGTAGATACTTACATATATTGCAGGTCCATTGCTGAAAGACTTATAAAAAATTTAACAACTCATAACGGTCACATAAAAAATAACACAAACATTAGACCAAGTTTACCTGGCATGAACGTCAGGTGAATTGTTCTCAGGGGCTTGACACCGGCAGCTTTGAGCCTTCGCACAGCTTCTATGTACCTGACAAATGGATGAAGTTTAAAAGTTAAAAGACAAAGCCCCAGAACTCCGACATCATAATGAAGTCAGTAGAATAACTTTGCCTGTCACCTATTGGATGTAGGAGTGTGCATCATTTACGGGTAGTGCGGGAATCAGGTACGTGATTAGGAAAAAAACACCCAAAAAACATGTACACGTTAATACAAACTCGTTCGGATCTAGCCAAACTGCTTGTTATTTCAGAAGTTTGTATTAAGATGAACATCAGTCCCATTAATTTTGCACATAAATGCACAGTCGGGACCAAGGCTTTGTGTTTGCTATAACCAGAATTTGTATTAACCCTGTTAACAGTGTTTGTACTGACGAGAGTAGACTGTACCCGTTAAAAGAAACCCAACCCTAAAATTAAAATCTCAGAAGATGCTGTTCAGAATGTTCACAAAGCTATGCAGGATAATATGACCACTCCGGTGCATCAATACAGCAAGATACAAGTGTACAGCGAGCGCAAAACAAGGTGTACACTGCATTTTCACAAGCGTCATCAATGTCAATCTGTTGTTTTTTCATGCAGCCTAACATTGAACACCTTTTTCATTGCTTGAGAATTTACAAATCATAAAGTTGGTTACAGGTACTTGATTCCATAATCTGGAACCGGTTCCAGACATCAGCGGTCGGTTTCCACACCAAGTGTGCTGGCTATACATGTACAGCCGAGTGCTGGAGATCCACTGAAATGATCTCTAGAAATACGATGTCGAGCACACTGCATGCACCATCGAAATGGCCAGAACACGGAGTGAAATGGAAGAACAAACTCGTTGGTTGTTTGTCAACCTTTCGGATTGAGCAGTATGTATGTAGTGGAGCAGGAGTATGTGATGTTTCATTTAACCGGTTTGTGTGTCAGATAATAGCAATCCCCTTCAACTTCGGCCATTTCCAGCAGCCAGGCTCCCATCCTGTGGGCCTTTTGCAAACACAGATTTATAACTGCATGTTCCATCGCCCGATCACACTATTTTCCCAAAATACCTCAAGTTCTTTCTAATAATGTTCCAGATACAAGAATACTTACTGTATCCCAACACTCTTCATGTCCTGCAAAATGCAAAGTTAAAAAAATATTTCAGATTTTTTTCCACCACCGTTACGCCCCCTTGCAACCTTGTTAGTGGTCTTAATTAAAGTTAACCCAAGACCAGATTTGGATTTAGTTCCCTTGCCAAGTCCCGTCATAACTACAGCTGGAATAAACCACTTCCAGGATCCAAGAAAAAACCACTGAGAACACGAGCAGGGACGAGGGGGGCTACATGCTGAGCCACGTGTGGGACCAGTGCCTGGCTAGTGCCACCTAACGGCCAGATGCCAACAGCTTCTCATGAGGGGCAAGGACGTTGCTAGACAGAGTATCACCCATTATCCATGGAGCCCAGTCTCCTTTATAACGTCTTATACAGGTATATCTAAAGCATGCAGATTTATGCGATTCCGCGCCTCAGCCAATTGGAGTCGACTTTACTAAATCGTGACGTCGTTCCATTCCCAAATCAGGACTAAATGTTTGATTGGTCAATTCGAATGCAGTGTTTTGCAATACAGCAACTACGGCGGGGCATATAGATCAATAAAGCCTAAACAAACTTGCACATATCATGTAACATAAGAGCATGTGACCATCACAGCCTTTGTTGCTGGTCTAATTTTTTTTTTTATTAACATGATTAATGTCTTTGACACGACAATGGGTGAATAACTGAAGACCTGATATAGAAAGTACGTGCTAATTGGTCAAATCTAGAGGTCACGAGGCAGTTGTCTTGCATAATTAAAAGGAATGTACAACATTTACCTTTCCTGCAATTTTCAAAAATAAATGGATTTTGAGGTTTAGCATGTTTTTGGGGGGAACAGGGGCGATGCCCCCCCCCCCCCCAAAAATAAAACACCAACCAGACCCATTTTTTTTTAGTAATGCCACAAAAAATGCAAACATTGCGTACACCACCCTCAAAACTCAACAAAAGCTATACACCTGCACCCCCTCCCCTTGCTTTTCATATTAAAATCTGGGGCGGAAAATGTTTGGACCCAACATTTACTGGTGAGCATTTTGGGGAAAATTGACCCACCTGGTGTGACCACTGGGAAAGAAAGGACATGGTGTTGAGTCTTGGGATTACGACTGCAGTATTTTACCTGGGTTCCCCTTGCATAAATGTCACCATTCTCGTACTTCACTGCTTCAAAGGCGTCACACTTCCAGAGGTCCTACAAAAAATATATTCACAAAAAAAATTATTCACAAAAATTGATTTCTACAAATATTACCTCTTCATCACGGAAGGAGACAAACTAGCTTCCGTCGTTCGGCTTCACCCCATGAACATAGCAGTGTGTCATTAAAACATCATTTTTAAGTTTGGAGTAATTGAGTCAGCTATTCTGAGCTAAAGAATCATAATGTAGGCTTCATTTTTTTGGGGGGGGGACAAAATAAGTGTGTGTGTGTGGGGGGGGGGGGGGGGGGGGGCCAAACGATATGATATCCCTCCCCCCCCCCCCCCCCCCACTTCAAAATGCTAAGAGTCATTCAATATCCAACCCCATCCTACATGTACCCACATTTTTTCCCCTCTATTTCTTTTGCTGACCAGAAAGGAAAAGCATCCCGGTTTATGCCTTCCAGCAACCGAGGGTCTGTCTGCCCATTTATTTGTCATCCACCTATCCAAATGGGAAAAGTGAAAGGCAGATTTGTGTAATTATATGGACCACACTTCACCTGAAAATTAACTTAATACAATCAATAACAGTCATCCTACCTCATAAACTGGAACGACATCTGTGTGTGAGTTGAGGATGAGACTTTTCAAGGCAGGATTTCGACCCTCCCAGGTCATAATCAGCACATCTTTCCCTGGATGGACCTGCATTAAAAACATGACCAGAAAACAAGAAAAATCAAAATCAAATTAAGCATTGAATGAAAACACTGCAGCAGGATCTATTTACCCCAGGGTACATTATGTGTTTTGTCATGCAGCCATGAACGTCACATTGTATTACAGGTATCTCAGCAGTGTTCTTTCTTATTTTAACCCTAACCGCCCTGAATTCTTCAAAATCCTCTTTGCCAAACATGCCAAAGTGGAGGAAATTGGAGCGCGTTATTTGCACTTTGTCAAGGTTTTGTCCACTACCTTTTGGATCTTGCGCCTTCTGAAAGGAAGTAGTGTATTTCCACAAAGTATTTTTGGATAAGACACTTCAATTGATTAATTATTTGAGTAACCAAATAATACTTGCGGCCAATGCATACATTAACGTTTTATTGGACACTGGAAGTTGACTATCTTGTCGCTCAAGGTGTGCGAGTTGCGATGCGAGACGGCTGTTTTTTAAACAATCTCTCAACCGATAGTATTACAGTGCAAAGCCATATTGTATGGGCAAATCAATTGTACAAGAAACAGCCGTCCAACGCAACTCGCACACCTGGCCTGAGCACCAAGATCGATTTGCGTAAGCGCGACTTCACAGCTTGGGGTCATCGCTTCGTACATTCAAAATGGCTGCTATCAATAGACGTTTTTCACGTGCATATGGGCTCCAGAAAAATAAAAAAATTTCTCAAAAAATTGGATATCATTACACCTAAGCATCCAAGAAGTGAAGAGCTGAGACATCAAAGAATACAACCATACATGTACATGTATATGTAAGAAAATTTGTGTAATTTTTTTGAGAACCTCCTCAGTAGTGTGCGATAACCTGGTGTGTGGCCAGAGGTTCAGCACAGCATACCGCGGTGCCGGCCACACTAGTGGGGCTAGTGTTGTTTATGCTCAGCCGTGCATAAATTTAGGCCTAGATTATACTTGAAATCCTCCGCACTGCTCCAGGATGTCACTGGCTCTGCCTCAACATATTGACAGTGATTGATTGCCGGAGAACTTTGCAGGATTGAGGCAGTGGTGGTCCCTTCAAGAACCACATTAAATGAGGAAATAACGGAGGATTTTGCAGGATTGAGGTTGATGCTATTTTTACATGGAGGCAGTTGGGGGATTTTGCAGGATCAAGGTTCCAAAAAAGCATGCTGAAATGACAGTGTAATAAATGGGATTTTGCTAGTGTTTTTACCTAGAAATTGGGTAGTCACTAGTAGCCCTAACCAACAAATTTTCCGGGTACAATCCTTTAAAAAAAATATTGGCTTTAACTGCCGGAGCTACCGGTAGGTTAACTTAAAAATACAAACAGCAAGTTTCATTAGTCTGAGTCATGATGCTGCTCACCTCAACAATCTCATAAGGTAGCCCAAGCTCCTTGGCCATTCGCTGTAGGAACAACAGGGCTCCATCTGCAATCAATTGAAGAAAATAAGGAATAACTAATGAGGAAAAACTAGGGGCAGTTTTTGAAAAAAATCGCCAAGTTTTCTCCAATGCTGGTCGGCCGACCTGCGTTGGAAAAACACCATTTTTCTTGAAAATGTCCGCACATCAGGAGTCAGGATTTTACAAGATGTTAAAGAGTCATTCCCTAGAAATCCAATAAGCCTTAAGGTACCGGTACATTGCATGTCGTGATGATTTGATCATTTTGTTTTGTGATGTTTGCAAATGTTGTATCTTCCCTTTATATAACACTGAAACATTGACTGTGATACGTCCTACAAGCGGGAAAAGTCACTTTATAAGAATTTGGAATCATCACTAAAAACTTCAATTTCTGCAAAGAGGGCAGGATCTTCATTTATGAATGGAATTTGTAAAACGTAACACTACATGATCCCCCAAGTAATGCTGGCTACGCATTTACATATAACTCAAATTAGGCCTAGTTGGCATGCCTAGGTGATCCATTCAGTGAGAAAAACTACACTGATCTCTGATGGATCCCAGCTCACACAGAACCACAATTAAAATACAGTTAAAATATAAAGAGTGCAATGTACAAATGTAAGAATGTTAAAAATTCATTTCAATAAACTTTAAAATAAAATAGTAATTACACAGATGATAAACAGACATTATGTATTGAGTTGTAATAAAACTCAATACAACAAGCCTAGACTGGGACCGTGAGTGCATAAAAACGTGCAAAATTACTACTGACGTCTTTTTACTCACCATTAGGCTAATTAATGCCCACACAACACATACATCAAAATGATAAAGTTGCAAGCATGTCATCTGCGAAATTTGAGACTTTAAATCCAATTTTAAGGCAAGTTTTTGGCAGTTCAAAAACTATCCACGTCAATCTCCATGCTCTGGAAATGGGTGTGTGATTCCCAATGTATTCTGGGTAGGTGAAGGAAGTGCCCTGCAGCTTACTTGATTTTTAATTGATAGCCAAATGAACACAACGCCCTCTGTTAAAAAATGAAACATTCTACATGTACACATTCACTCAGATCAACAAGAGGGCGCTGCTTTATCTACAAGATGAAAATGTTCTAGCTAGGGAGTTTTTTTGCACAATGCATTGCAGTACACATCAACGTGATGTCTCACGTTTGGATTTCGATAACTCTCTGCAAAATTAGAATTAAAAGCTGAATTTTTGGTGATGCAATGCTCACAACAGCAACTTTGCGAGGCAGAAGTTTCAGGGATTATTGAAGAAACTGTAGTGAGTAAGAAGCTTGCAAATTTGATTCACACTGGTTTTATCATGCAGCACAAACGTTTGCATGATATGGATACCTTAAGTTTTGGGACTCTCATACACAGTATTGAGAGTCCCAAATTTTCGGACTACAACAAGCATACATACAAAATAGTCCCATAATCACATTTATGGGACTAGGCCTACATACAAAACATCACTATACAAATATTGAGTGGCTCAGCGTGGAATGGGAGGAATATTATCGCAAGGTAAAATCTGGACTTTTCCATTTCACGAGGCGAAGCCGAGTGAAATGGAAAAGTCCAGGTTTTACCGAGCGATAATATTCCTCCCATTTCACAATTTAAAGCCACTCAATATTTGTTTTATATAACTGACATATAGATCCTTGTCATTTGATATATTTGAACTTTTATTTCAATACAAACCTGGACGAAAATGTATTTGTCTCTTCCAAACCACCCCTTCACGAAAATGTTTGAACCCAACGCTGTAGCGCTGGCTCTTTGGAACAATACGCGCTACGCGCAACGCTGAACGCCACACCAGCATGCATTTGCACACAAATACCGCGTCATGATCCTAACTGTTGAATAGTATTTCCCATTCCCCATGGGCGGATAGTACTTTTTGAGCCGTGGCATGAATGGGAGCAATAACGAATGCCACGTGATGTGAGTTCCACGAATCAAATGACTAGGATCTGTATGTCAGTTATATACATGTAATTAAAGTTAAACAACAAATTAGGATGAGACCCCCGCCATGCCCACCCCGTTCATCCTAGCCCGACTGCGTCTGGCCGTACAGTACTATCGCAAGCTCTGTAGTACGGCCAGACGCTGAATGCTTCCAAAAAGACTGAATTTTTTTGGTCGCCGATGTAGTGATTTTGCTACATCTTTCGATCGCAATTATCTTTTCATCCAGGACACAAATTTCCAAAGTTAAGGTTTGTAGTCGTAGAGCAACTCATACCTTTTCGAAAAAATGTTGTTTGGTCTCAATATTTTCATCCATCTGGCCACAAGACGAATTTCAGTCATCAGATTCCACAAATATCGTCCCCCATGCGATACCCCATGCGATTTCAAAATGGCGGCCGCGCTGTAATGTATGCAATATGCAGGCGCGCCCGCGCAAACTTATGAATATGCATAACAGTCTGTGACGTACGACCTCGTGTTTTTGGACGTGCGTGCGGCGGGGCCGTACGTCCAAAAACACGAGGTCGTACGTCACAGACTGTTTATGCATATTCATAAGTTTGCGCGGGCGCGCCTGCATATTGCATACATTACAGCACGGCCGCCATTTTGAAATCGCATGGGGGATCGCATGGGGGACGATATTTGTGGAATCTGATGACTGAAATTCGTCTTGTGGCCAGATGGATGAAAATATTGAGACCAAACAACGTTTTTTCGAAAAGGTATGAGTTGCTCTTCGACTACAAACCTAAGTTAAGGCTTAACTTTGGAAATTTGTGTCCTGGATGAAAAGATAATTGCGATCGAAAGATGTAGCAAAATCGCTACATCGGCGGCCAAAAAAATTCAGTCTTTTTGGAAGCATTCAGCGTCTGGCCGTACTACAGAGCTTGCGATAGTAGTAGTACTGGAATGTCGGTCGTTTCGTACCCAAGTCGTTTCGTACCCAGGTCGTTTCGTACCCAGGTCGTTTCGCACACAGGATTCATGTTTGTCTTCTATATTGTAGCGTGATTTTCTTTGGTTGCTTTTCAGTTTTTCGAATTGTACTTTTTATAATTAGGCCAAAAAAAAAAGAATAGTTCTGCTTCCGGTTACCCGACCGACCCTATTTTTAGGCTGCGACCCTAAAAATTGTATCGGCAATTCCAAAAAAAATAAATAAAAAATGATTGAATAGGCCTAAATAAAAATAAAAATCTTATGTCTTGTCTGTCTTTACAAAGTACCTCTCAACAACCCTTTTGCATCAAAAAATGCTTGTATTTATTGTTTTCTTACTTACATTCGCTGTTTTTTCAAAAGAAAACTCCGTTATTTTTACAAATTCACTGCGCGATTCAACTACATGTACTTCGCAATTCGATGTCTATAATCACGTGCGTAATAAGCGCAATGCGGCGACGACTGGTTCCCGCCGCGCCGCGCAGGGGCCAATGATGAAATGCGGTAACTAGTCTGTGCACAGCTATGCGATCGATAGCGCTAGCATGGCTATGCAGGCGCAGGCACGTGCTCAGCGCTCTGTCAACTGGTCGGATTCGACATCGTAAAAATGCTGAGAAAGACATCGTAAAAATGCCAAGAAAACACCGATGGAGAAAGAACATTTTTGCAAGTTAATTCACAGATTTGATCTAGCTTGTCTGTGTATGTATTTTCTGTGTTTGCATGACTGGCTTAATCTCCTTTGTGCATCATAATTGACTGGGTACGAAACGACTTGGGTACGAAACGACTTGGGTACGAAACGACCTGCTTCGGTAGTACTGTACGGCCAGACGCAGTCGGGCTACGTTCATCCGTGTTGTGAGTGTGGCCTTACCGTAATCTGGCTCCGGATGCACCGTTTTGATTCTCAGGTACTCCCTGAAGTTCGTGACAGCCTGGTCCTCCGTTTTAGCCTTCTTGGCATTTTCATGGGGACTTGGTGAAGGAGACATTTTCGTCAGCTAGCTGCGTTCGGCCGGTTGACGCCACAGTCTACCAAAAAGGAACTGCTAGGGTGACCGTAAGGGTCAAAGCCAAATTCTGCTAAATGCACATCAAAAATCTGTCAGATTTATCAAAAATCGGCCAAATTCCCCAGAATCACTCGAAATACACTATTAACACTTAAAATCACATGCAGGTTTGGTAGTATTGCCTTAATTAAGATTCAAATTAAATTAATAACAATCTAGTCACATACAGATGATGTGAAATTATTGCGTAAATTTCTGGCAAAACACGGATCCAGCCTAGCCACGACGATCATAAAAGTCCATTTCCTAGTGAACCTCAGCACCTAGACTAGCCAACCTGTCCCATTATGCCTTTTTGCAAGGGTTTGTTTGAAAACGATTGAAGCTTTTTTTAAACAAATGTACACTTTTTTGTTCAAATTTGCCAAAAAATCCATTCTGTTAAATTTTCTGTCAAACTCGTTTTTTTTTTTACAAAAATTCTGTCAAAGCTAGCCGAAAACCGGCTAAAACGGTCACCCCGAAACTGCTTGTAGGCTAGTCTGAAGCCCTGCTTCGTCTCAGAAATTTCCTTGATTTTACGCTGAATCAGGGGATCAGTCTATTTTGACACGACGGGGAGCGTAATTTTTTTTCCTAGGAGGGTTAGGGGCAATGTCATGAATAATTCAGTTTTTACTTTGAATCATTGCAAGATTTAGGTTCTCGTTCTATTTTCCCCTTAATTTAAAATTATCTCAGTGATAAATTTGGAGAAGAAAAATAGCTGATGAAAATGAGCAGCGATGACGTGGATTCGAACCAGGGATCTTTGTATCCATAGCTCATCTCGCTATCCACTAGGCTACTGTGTGGTAGCTCGACGACATGCGTTCTTTAAAATGCTTTAATGTATTGTAACTAGTTGAGTAACTAACAACAATGCTGTTGATGTCATTGTCCGTTCTCATGGATAAACATGAATTATTCATGACATTGCCCCTAACCCTCCTAGGAATAAAAATTACGCCGACGGCGTCGGAGAGCGACACCACACAAGTCCGTGGGTGTGTGGGACTAATCATAAACTGTTTTTCAGTGGGGATTTGTTCCCGAAATTGTGATTAAACCTTATCCAGCTCTCATTGCATTCTGATCACGTGCTCTCTGCACGTAAGTATCAGATTTAATTTGTATTCATAAATACCTCAGACAGTTTAGCTATTCCTATTGGTCGAGAGCCCGTCACGTGGCCGGTCTTAAACGGACGATAAAGACATGGCTAGCCGGTCTGAAACACTTTTCCAGTGTCACTATAAAATGTGGACTCCTAAAAATCCAGTGCCTCTTACCGTTTCATTGGTTGAACGTTCACAATCCTCACGTAGGCATGCGCAACACTACAAGCGAAACATAATTTTATAGTTCTAAATTCAAAGGTGCGTTCTGCGTGACATCGCGCAAAACATGCTACGCGCGCGTCAATCTGCGTCGAGGCTCTCTCACCCTCTCTCACCCTGGTATTGGATCATTATTTTGCATGTGCAAGATTTTTGCACACGTATGCAAATGAGGAACAGTCTGGTGCCTGGATATGCGTTACACATTAGCGTTTGTTTTTGTATGCGGTGTCTGGGGTAAAAACAGAGTCAATTCGTAGCAGCGCGAGCGCGGCGTGAGTTACGAAAACACGATTTTTTTTTAAAATCAAACTGTTACGATCTTATCGAGACAACATGCAGTATCATATTTCATATTAATATGAGCAAATTGGAAAAGAAAATTAGTATTTTCGAGAAGGCGTGGACGAATGATCGCGAAAACACGTACTGCACGTTGTGAATATATAGCACCAAGTATACGATAAAAATCCATTACTAGCCAATTGCGGTATCCAATCAGGATACAGGAAGAAAGTTTACTATCCAGGGTTTACTATTGGAAACGCGGTTGGAAATAAAGTAAGCACTGGGGACGAGGTTGGCGTCGAGGTGCGTTCTGCGTGACATCGCGCAGAACATGGTACACGCGCGTCAATCTGCGTTCTGCGTGACATCGCGCAGAACATGCTACGCGCGCGTCAATCTCCATAAAAGGGTTGTTTACATCTTACTCGCCAGCTGAACACTCCATTATTTTGCTAGAGGGATGTTTCAAAAAGCATGAAATGAACTTGTAGAAGAAAATCAGGATTTTTTTTAACGAATTGTGGGATATTTTTACGGATAAGGTATTTATGAATGGGAATAAATATGTGCTCGGTCGGTATTTATCACTCTGTTTAATACCGCTTAGAGACTGGGTGCTGAAAATTACCCTCGCCTCCGGCTCGGGTAATTATCAGCACCCATTAAACGAGTGATAAATACCTCCGGAGCACACATTTATTCCCTTATTAACGAATTACTGGTAATAACCATTAGTCGTAACAACGAAATAAATAATTTATAATAACGAACTGTATCCGTAAAAACGAATTAAATAATCCGTAATAACGACTTAAATAATCCGCAATAACGACTTAAATAATCCGCAATAACGACATAAATAATCCGTAATAATGAATTAATAATCCGTAATAACGAATTGAATAATATGTAATAACAAATTAAACAATTCGTAATAAGGAATAAGTAATCCGTAATAACGAATTCATAATCCGTGTTACGAAATACTTGCAGTGCCGCTAATGGGCTTTCGTAGAAATGTCCAATAGTGTCTATTTTTTTTCGTTTAACGGTTTATACGATATTATGCAAATGAGCTGACTGTACAGGAACAAGTTTATATAACATAAATATAGGTGGAATATGAACAATTGTTGCTTAACCTTTTCACTTTGTAAACTATCATGTTTGTTGTTGTTTATGGCTTATATATTCTCAACATGATTCATTTTTTGTAGAGAACGGTATATAATTGATTGCTAATTTAATTTATTAAAAACTTTATTTTTTTTCTAAAAGAATATATATGTATTAATGTTTTTTTCTGTTGTTCCTCATCCTCGATATTTTGTTTATGAGTTTGTTCCCGGCCCACGCATGGTGTCGAGCAGTATACGCTCCCACCACTATATTTGCTCAAGTTGTCACGGCGAGATCCGAACACACCTTTTCTTTGAAGATGGTACAATCTTTAAATATGCAAAATCACATTACATAATACATGTATACTTGTTAAAATTATGAGCAAAATGGAAAAGGTGGGTTCTTTTTGGGGTGGAGTACGTGGGCGTCACGTTGAAATGATAACATTATTTTGTAAATAGCAATAGCAAGTACACGATAAAGACCCAAGGGTAGCAAGATAGCGAGATCAAGCCTGAGACCGCTCGAGACCCGGATAGCGAGACCGAGACCATAGGGTAGAGGGACCAAGACAGAGACCATAGGGTTACGACACCAAGACCGAGACCATAGGGTAGTGAGATCAAGCCCGAGACCGCTCGAGACCCGGATAGCGAGACCGAGACCATAGGGTATGAGACCGAGACCATAGGGTAGAGGGACCAAGACAGAGACCATAGGGTTACGACACCAAGACCGAGACCATAGGGTAGTGAGATCAAGCCCGAGACCGGTCGAGACCCGGATAGCGAGACCGAGACCGTATAGTGAGACCGAGACCGAGACCATAGGGTAGAGGGACCAAGACAGAGACCCTAAGGTTACGACACCAAGACCGAGACCATAGGGTACGTAGCGAGAACAAGCCCGAGACCGTTAGAGACATAAGATAGCGAGACCGATACCATAGGACATTATACTGGTATAATGTCCGCCTGTTCAAAATACGGTACACCATTCTGTAATCTAAGGGTGCATACCTGCAAATAAACTCCCATAGACACTAGTGCTAAATGCCCATACATCAAAATTCTTTTAAAAATACTCGAAACTCTCACAGGTATTCAAGCTGCACAGAAAAATGATGATCAATGTGTCATCTTTCATTTTCTTTTCAATTTATGGTGGGTTGACAATTGACTTTTCCAGATATTTTCACGCAAAGAAGACGACCCCTATTTTCCCCAAAGCGGAAAAGTAGCCATCTTGAAAAACGATCCCTCCACAACATGGCAAAATAGCGCCACTTTCGAGCCCAATAGCATCCAAAATGCTCAGAATTGAAAGCCCCAAGTCCGGGCCAGAGGTTCACTACCATATCTCTTCAATTCCCCAATTTTACGGCGCTCAGAACTCTCTAATATAGAATATTTTGAGGGTATAACTTTTATTCATGAGCTTGGCGGATCGATTTACCGGTGTGCACCCCTAATGTTAATAATCGTCGAATTTGAACAGCGCCCCCTACTGAGCATGCAGGCTCAACCATTACCAGCACACTTTCGCAAAAAGTGGTCGGCCGCCTTTGTATACAAAACCTCATTGGCCCAGGGTTTTGTGCGTAAACCTTATCAGTCAGCCAATCACACTCAATTGACTTCGGCAAAACCGCAAGTCCCATCATAAAGAATAAGTGAACCGGACCATTTTTTCCGAGAGTGTGATTCTAATGTGTTTCTCTGTAATCGTTTGCAAAAGAAGTAAATAATTATAAAATTTCGAGAAAACTTTTCATAGGAATTTCTCAAGGTGGTACTCAAAATGTGCGTAGACAATCCTCAGTAAGGAAATATATTTCGAGATATTGCAATATTACGGTAGTCATAACTCTATTGTGAATGTATTTGAAATACATGTATTTGGGACAAAATATAAAAAATATATAGTTCTGACCCGCGAAACCTTACTACAAAGCGAAGTAACATGGCAAGTTGTAGAACTATATAAGAACATATATGGAAAACATGTCAAGCCAACGTCTTTTACAAAAGTGAAAGTACAAAAATATTCCTTTATCTACCCCTATATACTTTATTCTTATAATAACCACACCGTGTTCTAATTTCTAAAGACCTGATTACAACTGGTGATAATTCTGGTATGGATTTTAGAACTAAATCCCAAATGTCAATGACCTATAATTACTAGAGTCAGTCTCTATTCATATCTGGGACGAGTTCCGGACAAGTTGCGGATATTGTATTGGGTACAAGTTGCAGGGTTCTGAACAACTTCCCCGCAATGAAGTCATCAGTATTGGTGATCAGTATTACGGTGTGGGCTTCGGGGCCCGTTCAGGGGCGCCAAAACTTTTTTGGATTTAAGATGCTATGTGGTGCAATCTGAGGCAATTTTTGACAACTTTAACCGATTTTTTTTAGGGAAAGAGAGTGCTGTACGCAGTGCCTCCCTTTATTGCGACATCACTTAAAAAAAAAATACATTGGGTTCGTTTCGGAGGAGGGGCCATGGCCCCCGTTGCCCCCCCCCCGATCCGCCCTTGCATACCGGGACAAACGCACAGCCTCTTCTGGATAAAGTGAAGTTACACCAGCAACTTGTTTGGAACTCGTACCGGACATGAATTGAGACGGGCCCTTAGGGTTTGTACAACACTAATCTTACGCGGAGCATAGCAATAGATACAGTGCCCCACAGTTGAACTAGACACACAGGATGCCCATTGACACACCACTGTGATCTCATTCATCTTCTGAGAAAGCTCTTAAAGTGAAAAAAATACCAATAAAAAAATGTATTTCCATCCGGAATGAAATATGAACATACGGGAGGAACATCCTTTACAGAGTTAGCTACCATTTGCGCTGGCACATGATGGGGCTTGTGGTAGTTTTTTTTTTTAACTGAGAGGTTATGAATTAACTTGTCTAAACTTGTAGGCCTACATTTTTTCCGTCTCCTTCTTCTTCCGGCTCTCCACGTACCGCCCAAAGGATTCCTGGAAGGATTTGTCATGGATGAACTCGTTGAAGGTGGTGATGTCCTCCTCCTGCTGGGCTCGTAGTTTCTCAATGAGCGCACCCCGGCGCATCCCCTTGGTCATCGCTCTCGCTCGATCTATGCAGTTTCGAAAAGGGCCACAAAATAACCATTCAAAGAAAATTCAGAGGCCGCTAAGGCTGTTTGGCACAGATAATGGATTAATTCGGCAAACCAATTAGGAGGCATTCTGGACGTGGAATCAAGCTCCAGCTCTGGACCTGGGTATCATCAATGAAGGGGCTTTTCCTATAGCGCCCCTCCCCATGGACCTCTAAGTAACCCCCTCAGGTTATGCAGGTCTACTTGCCTGGATTTTTCAGCCATTTCAACAGTTGTTCCCGAGCCTTGCTGATGAGATGGCAAGGTGGTACGACCTCATCCACCAGGCCGATCTTCAGTGCTTCCTCGGGTGTGAAGAGTGTGCCTGCAAGGCAAGGGTTAAAGGTATTATATAAAAGTCATATTGCTCTTATAAGATTTGAGGTATCTTTTTGGTTTGCGGTACTGCACCATGTGGTAATAACTACTGCTTAGAAGATATTTAGTTCTGGAAAGGACTTGTCCTGCTTATTATCAACTTTGTTTAGTAGTTGTTTGTTCTGATAAGCACAGTCCTGCTTTAAGTTCTAAAAGAACTTGTCCTTGGTCTCAACGTTTCGACTAGCCTGCTCTAGTCATCGTCAGGTCCATATTGCTCGTACCAAGTTTCACACAGTGTGTTGAACTGGTCCTGTATTTACAATGAGTAAAATTGCTCCCATATTCAGTCCAAGTGAATTGTCCCCCAAAATTTGGTAGGTCTTTGGTTGGTAATAAAGAATAATCAAACGTAAACCTGAGTGATGCCCGACATGCTGAAAACATGTCACGCGGCAACAATCAGATAGCAAGCACACTTTTCAGCGTACCTAACCAAAATCAACGATGACCTCATTTGACCCGTTCATGACCTTTGGCCTAAAATGTCTCAAGTCATCCGGAGTCCCCGTACCAAATGTTATTGTCATCAAGTTTTAGTTTGGTTGAGAGTGAAATCTGACTTTTCATGACAGCACTTAACAATTAACCTAATCAAAATGGAGCACACACAGACACACCAATCTGGGTAAACACCGGCAATCATATGGACCCCCCTATTGTCCCTAATCCTCATTCCTAATTGTAACTTTTTAGCAAAAGCTTTCATGGTTTTGTACACGAATATCAATCGTGGACTATCGGTCAATCATGGACGTATTGTCTAAACCCTTTTGTCCTAGGTCCGCGATTGCCGATGTTTACATACCCGCGCACAAGACAAGTGTGTACGTGCCTATAATCGGGTACCACCTATTGTCCCTCTTTTGTTTTTTAGGAAGACCTCTCATGTGCTTTGTACATGATCGCCAAATTGGGGACCTTTGGGAATTGGAGATTGTATTGTCCTCTATATTCTGTTTAACGTCCCCTATTAAATGCAGAAACAAACTCACGGACACACAGAATTAAGGAATACACTATCGCAATATCCCCGGCATTTCTAGCTTGTAAGCCTGCGAGATAAAAATCATTCTATGGGAACATTACGTCTAGGGATGACCCTTTAATAAAGCTATAAAAAAAACTGTGCAGAACATAAATGAAGGAAATTAATAAGCCATTTGTTAGTTTGAGGTGGTACAAATATTTCTAATGCAAAGGTTTATACCAAGTCCGGCTGCCATTTCCGTTTGTCGCTCACCGCAAGTTTTGACCATCACATCTTGGAACCAGAATGGGGCGACTAAACCCTGCCAAAAAACATTAAAAATTTACAAAGATTTTATTTCCAACGTGTATTCGTCATTTTGCTCCCCCCCCCTTTTTTTTTTAGAATCCTGCTCTCTCCTGGCAGCCCAAAAGCAATTTGACGGCTGTTATATACTTCAAAACAGGTGAAAAATAAAGTTTTGAAATAGCTGTCATACTGTTTTCAAAACTTTACAGTTTCATAACTTGTGAAAACTCCCCCCCCCCTTTTTTAAATTGATATGTCGTTTTTGGAAATAAACCTTTCATGATCGTGTATAAGATAAGACTGCATGACAAGGTAAAAAACAGCCAAAATTTGTACAACGCTGACTTTGCCTCAATCTTAGTACTGCCGAAACACTCAGTGTACAGACACACTGCAAGCAGCACCAGTTAGCATGTAATTTGCAAGCTAAGCAATTCATAGAAAAACTGAAGACCTTGCTCAAATTACCAGTTTTTCACCATTTTGGAAAATGTCAATGATACATGGAAATAGATTTATTTTGTTCAAAAAGGCGTCCACAAAATGGGGGAATCGGCAACATGTGGCTGGATAGCTCAGTTGGTAGAGCCCTGGAAGGGCAGTCCGGAGGTTGTAAATTCAAGCCCCGCTCCAGTGGATATCTTTGTTCAACTTTGTTCAAAAATTAAATAAATCTACCTTGTCGGTTTCTATATTTTGTTTATTCAAAAATTTGTAATAAAAAGCCGTATCCTTACAAGAGTGCATGATCCCCTTTTGCTATTTCCCAGGTTTGCAGCTTGTCATGTTGCTTGCAGCGTGACTTCGGGTGTAATTCATTACTACGTGGCTTTAATTATTAATGGCTGTTTCTGACTATTGCCCCCTGAACAAAAAAATTGACGAACTGGGGAACCGCCAACATAGGAGTGGCTAGCTCAAGTTGGTAGAGCACCGGAAAGGCAATCTGGAGGTCGCAGTTTCAAGCCCAACTCTAGTCAATTTCTTTGTTAAAACTGTGAAAAAAGAAACAGATTCAAGATGGCTTACCACAGTAACTTCAGAGAAGCCAATGTCAAAAGGTCCCTCTGACATAACTCTGTAATCACAACTCATTGCCATCATGCACCCTGTGGCAGGAGAACGGCCCTGACGAATAAAAACATTGCAATACACAGGCGTATATAAGGCTGTTCACATTCCAGTATCTCATGCGGCCTAAGGCTCATTTATCTTTGTCCTGCTAATAACAAAAGACAAAAGTGATAAATAAATTCAGAACTGGTATATGTGAAAATGAATCCCTCGTGACATACAAACACTGCAAAAAAGAAAGTCCACACTCATTGGACGGGTCACAATTTTGAATCTGATCGTCTTGTGGTAAGGTCATTTTATACAGACCTTCAGGGAATTTAGTTAGCTACATTTTGCTACCCAGTTGGCGGGGTCCAAGATTGACAACGGTTTACAAAAACTGACGCAGTGAGAAAAGTTGCAAATTTAAAGATTACGTGCGGGTATTTTAATTTCGTGTGTATCCCACGCATACAAGCACTGCGATCGACATATCCTGCCGTTCGTTTGGGGAAGTTCTAAAGTTTAACAAACGGTAGAGCAGCAATTTTCCACTCGCTTACTCATTCAAATGTCCAACTTTCTTTTTGGTTTCGGCACTGTTATTACATCATTCTTCTCCGAACATTACTTCTTACATTTTGCAAACGTCTACAGATTTGTTGAAGAAAAAAGTAATATAAAAACTTAGTAAAATGTGCGGTTACAATTGTAACACAAGTATTTGGTTCATAGGTGGTTGACTGCCAGTCCTAGAGTCTTGGTCACAGGAGAGATGTACATGTATAAAATGATATGTCTCCTAGTAGCGCGTATAGCCCCGACTAAAATCGCTTGACAGAGTGATGACTAGAGACGAGAGAAGAGAGAGAGAGAGAAAGTGAAAGAATGACAATTGAGGACTTAGGGGGAGAGGGGCTCATTAAATACAAGAATGGAACATAATGGATTGTGTGTAACTGTAAGTGAATTAAACCAAGGACAGCAAATACTAAGAATCTAGGATGTGGTTTTATAGGTGACCAATGGAGACAGGGTGTCTCTGTGGACCACAAAGTAATTTAAAATAATCTTAAAGATTTCAACGGGTAATAAGTGGGGATAATGTAATTTAAGTTAATTGAGATTCTAAATCTGGGCTAACACAATAGATAACAAAAAAATATGGTTAGTATATTTAAGAAGAATCTCAGATGCACTCATTCCTCTTTTTTTTTTTGGGGGGGGTGCATTTTGATTTGAATGCTCGGACAGCAGGAGCATTAATATAGATACAGCACCCATGGTCTTACATTGATGGCAGCCACAATCGCTAGCTTTGATCCATACAGTCTCATCCAGAAATCCTGGAGAGTCCTCCAGAAGGCACTGGTGGATTCAATTGACTTCTGGTACATCTCATTGCTATCCAGCCCCAAAGAAAAGATACTGTCAATGGCCTGAAGAAGATGCACAGAATTAGTTTAGGATGGGCAGTTAAAAAGAATGCACCTCAAAAATGAAAAAAAAAAAATCCTGGGCAAAATTTTATGAGGAATTCTGCACTTACAGAGCAAGCAGAAAATTCCGCTTCAAGTATACATGTTTAAGCACTTTACCTGTTCACGCATTTTTTACTCTTCAATGACAATAATTTTTTATAGAGTGAAAGTTTCTGCCACGGATGTAAGCATTTCACTGATCAAGGGGTGAAAGGGGATGGCGTGCCCCCAACTCCTACCCGCATCGTTCAGAGGTTCCCAATGTCCAGAAATGCACAGCCCTATAGACATGCATCGCAGTTAATTCAAACACTGGTCCCAACAAATCCTCACAAATCCTCACAATCTAGTCCCCACCCCTAGACCAATGTTACAGTCAATATTCCATTAAGTCCTTGCAAGTCCTCACACAAGCCCTCACATACATACAAATTGTACTTTCAAAAAGCTCATATCTTAACTAAAATTAATTTCCTGGGTTGACATTTGGACTTAATATCCCTTATACATAAAATAGTTCAATTTGCGACGATCAACACATCTTGGAAATTCCTAGTTTTTGAGAAATTTTCGTCACGTGGAGACGTATTTACCTATAGAAATTGCCCTGTTGAGACGTATGCAATCTTGTTCACTATTGTACACATGTCTCCAGAGGGTACCGTGTAACAGATCACAAGTCCTTCCATAATGTCCTCACACAAGTCATCCAGTCCCAAATCAAGTCACAAGCTATTCAATATGACCCTGTTTCTTGTGACTGGAATTGTGACAGGACTTGGGATAGCCGCACGACACTGTACTGTACCGTGAATCCTACTGTTAACAGTGACTGCACTGTGAAAAAAAAACAGATTTCGGGAATACGTACTGATGTCAGGATAACGCCGCGGCAACTGTCGTCGTTTTCCAGTTTTTCCAACGTAGTGTTCAACTCCGTAATGAATTCTTTGCTCAGTTGGTTCCCTGGTACCCTGTTCATCTTCACAATAGCAATTTCTACAAAAGGCAAAATTTGAAAGATTGGTCATTCCGTGTCAAATCATCAAAAAAAAAAAAAAAAAAAATACCGCCCGCCACTATTTGGTAATTTTGGTCAAAATGGGCGTGGCCGCCAATTTTCAAATGACCAATATCTCCATAACCTGTGGGCCAAATTTGTTAATCTTGGTTCCTTTTGAAGGTTACATCATAAGAAATCCAAATTTACCATTATTTTTCATGTCGGGGTTATTTGAAGTATGATGACCCTGTGACCTTTACTTTGACCTCGAATTTGACCTTGTGGATAACCCGACCTCATTTTTGAGACGAACTTGGATGACAAATATACCCCACCATGTTTTCTACAAAATATCAAAAAAATAGCGGTATATTATTTTTTGTTGGGTTTCTAGCCCATCTCAAATTTGGCATATGTATTGCAAAATGTGATATCCTTATGCAGTGTACTAGTGATTTAAATCAGGTTTTTTGGTCCCTGAAATGTGTTCATGTATAGGGATATCACATTTTGCAACATTTATGCCAACTTTGACATTAGCTAGAAACCAAACAAAAAATATTATACCCCAAATGTTGGATATTTTGTAGAATACATATTGGGGTGTAATTTCATCAAAGTTCGTCTCAAGGTCACGTGATCCACAAGGTCAAATTCAAATTCAAAGTAAAGGTCAAAGGGTCATCATACCTCAAATTACTCTGACATGAAAAGTAATGGTAAATTTAAATTTCTAATGATATCTTTCCAAAGCAACCAAGATCAACAAATTTGGCCCACAGGTTATGGAGATTTGGTAATTTATAAATTGGTGGCCACGCCCCTTTTGACCAAAATTGCTAAACAATGGGGGCAGCAACACGAAAACGGTTTCTCTGATGGTGCTTACACTTAAAATTTCAGCCTTTTAAGCCTAAATTACCTCATACACTAAATATGAGCAAATTTGAAGGGGTTGGGGTCTAACCCATTGGGTGAGTTGACACGGAATAATGACCCAGATGTGAAATGAACCCGTTGGTATGGAACAGCGTTCAGAACCATTTGGTTTGGGAACTTGAGTTCGGAACGGCAACGTCCTTTGGGCTTTAGCTTGACAGGGCTATCGCGCTGTTGCCGCGCCATTTCATGTCACTTCGAAGTTGGGCCAAACATTGAGGAATGCGTTATGCCCACGGTACCCTCTCTCCCGTCTGCATTGAAAGTTCATTCAACTGCATGATCAATTGAACCTGGGCACGTTTCTCCATATGTGTTAAAGTTCGACTATTACATTTGTCGTTTAGAGCAACTACCGTGCTGTAGAAGATCCAAGGCCAAATTCATTTCAGCTCAGTTAGGCGCGACACTCAGTCTGCAGTAGCACGACCCAGAGTATAATAGGCTGGCCATTTCCGCTTTTGGCAACCAACGAAAAATGAAATTGAACACAACTCTTGGAAGAATAATATATACTTTAGAAAATGAAAACTGATTTTTGCCTTTAGAATTCAATATTTCTCTCAGCAATTTCAGGACCAAACTTGCACCATGAAATTACTGAACCAATTACAATGAACAATGCAGAGATTTGTGCTTAACCAATTACAATGAACAATGCAGAGATTTGTGCTTAAACCAGAATTGGAGTCAATTTTATCAAGAATTGAAGTCAATTTTATCACAGGTCAAATCCCAAGTTAAGTCACAAAGAACGAAGGAATGACGTGCCAGCTTGAATACAGCTTTATGATTACTTAGGACAAAACTTGCACCATGACAATTACTGAATTACAATTAATACAACTATCATAGCATTGTGTGTATGCAGAGAATAGGATGCTTTAACCAGAATTTTATCACAGGTCAAATCCAAAGTAAAGTAACAAACTAAGGCCGAATAAAAACACATGTTTCTCGTCCGGGTTTTTGAAAAAAAGGAGGAGGCGGGGCTTTTTATTATTTTTTTCAAGATGGTCGCCATTTAAAAAATTTCCTGCAACCCTTGGTGTTTCCACTGTTCAAAGACACTTTTAAAATGAAAGACAAGTTGGACAAGAGAACTGAACATATTTAAAGTGTCATTTAGAGTTGTATTGGTCACATTGAGTGTTTATTTTCCGATGAATTTGTGAACTTTTTGGTGTATTTTTACTGCATTTTTCAAACCTAAAAAATAATAACAAAAATCCAGGCGGCCTCCAAAAAGGAAGCGGGCGAGGACGAGAAACATGTTTCTTTTTTACTTCGCCTAACAAAGAACGAACAACGTCAAGGGAATGCCGTGCCACAGTTCATTTGAATACTGCTTTACGCATGACATCGACATCGAACTCACCCGTGACTCAAACTCGGTTGCGTGGTTGTCCACACTTTTAGTTGCAGTTTGTTAGTAAAAGTAAAAGCTATACATGTACCTTTGTGAATACAGTCGCGTTCCACCTCGACATTGTTGTCTTTGTCTGCATAGTCAAAGGGAAAGAATGTTGCAACCTCGGTCCCTTTTTGCAATGATCGAAGGTCGGTCATTGCAAAAATGTTGAAAAGGCATGATTATGGGGCTGAGAAACATTTCCAATTTCGTTAGGAAATACTTAGGAAATTGTCTTGACTCTCCACACAGATTTTGTATACAGCCGCTGAAGTGGAGTCTAGATACTACATTGATTCTTTCCTTTAAAAAAAAGGCTGAATGGTAATGGTTGAATGGTAAAATTGATTTTTTTTGTCGATTCAAGGCACAACATCACAATAAAGCAGCGTATTAAAAAAACCAACTTGTCAACCTGTCAGCTCTGTAGATATCCTACTTTTGGAGAAAACTGTGACAATGTATCGAGATTTCTCGACAATAAACCTTAGTCTGTTGTATCACACCAATTGATCGCTTGCTCAAAATCCTGAAAAGAATTTGCAATTTCGACAGTTTTATGTTTCACTTGATATTTTCTGTGGAAGCTGCTTAGGAAAAACTCAGAATCAATAAATACAAAAATATTTTTCAAAATTGTACAGATTGACCCACCTAACCACACCAAATTTAGATTTTTTAAATGTTGAATGACTATATTTCATATTATCCCGCAAAAGTATAATGAATGTTTCAAATGAAGCAGATATTTTTAAGGTCCACTGGCTGATGCTCTCACAGCATTGGAGTTTTCAATGGAATTGCGTTTTTCAGTTCAAACAGAAGAGAATATTGCCAAGCACACACTACCGACCGTACGTAGCTTGAGCAATGCTACGCGTACGTACATTATACATGTACAACGTTTTCCAGTTTTGTATAGGCCTATACCCCAGTACTAGCTTGAGTAACTCCAGTTTAACATGCATGCTCATCAGGAATTCACATGTTACATGTGAATTCCTGATGAGCAAATAAGCTGGAGTTACTCAAGCTACCCCAGTACCAGGGGCCTTTGATAGCCCCGCCCCCAAAGAAATCCTGGGTGCGCCACTGGATTGGAGTTGACTTACCGCCCCTTTTTCCGATTTCCTGAGTCGCCATATTGTATTATGTTATGAATCACCGGCGTGGCACAAAAAATGCTGCGGATCATGCAGAAAATCAACACGCGCTGCCTGGCCGGCCAGTGACTTATGGGTGCAGACCAGTAAATCGGTCCGAAATTGCCTGCGCCGGCCAAATCACGATTTGCATGCCCTCAAAATCTTCGGCATTTGAGCATGCTGTGGGCCATGAACTTGAGGGTTTGTAAAAAATATGGGTGGTAGCCGTGCACAGGACTGGGAGCTTGCAGTTCTGTGTAATTTTGATGTAATTTGGACCCTAAAAGCGCTCTATTTTGCAATGGAGTGTAGGCATCGTTTTTCAAAATGGCGATGGGCTTCAGGACTATTTTCAGGGGTGATCATCTTCAGATGGAAATTTCTCCAAAAAGTCATCAGTTTACCCCAAAAAAATTGAAAAGAAAATGAAAGATGATGAAATAAACTTTAATTTGATGTGTGTCTCGAACACCTTGAAGAGTTGTGAGTATTTTTCCCGAATTTTTGAAGTGGGAGCATTTACCATTGGGGTCTATGGAAGTTTATTTACTGGTCTGCTACCTTATTCTGTCATTTCGGCAACTTGCCAACTCGGCACCTGGCCAACTCGGCACCCACCAACCTGTCACCTTGCCAACTCGGCAACCGCCAACTCGCCACCTGTACAAATACCAACTCGGCACCTACGGCACCTTCACAATTATTTTGCAAACCGGCTCCTACATTTATTACATAATTCAATGCATTTTATATTACATAATAATTAATATCGAGAATCAAAAATACATGTATTGCCTTCGTTATCTCCGAAAGTTAAAAGTTTAGTGCTTGACAAGAATGTTGCACTTTGTTATGGTGTACCATTAGGGTCACTAATGCGGCATGATGTCCATCCTGAACCGGCGCAATGTGTGTGTATCGCTGCGCGATGTCCGTCCCTTACCGGCGCGATGTGTGTGTATCGCTGCGCGATGTCCGTCCCTTACCGGCGCGATGCGCGTGTATGCCCGTTATTTGTTTTGAAATTTGATCAGAACATTAAAAGCTATAAGTGATAAAGCGAAATCGGAACGAAACCGAGCTTTGAAAAAGGGCCATCAATGTCGTCATGTTTATTTTTAGCCACGGAGGCTGCCTGACCTACAATTCAGACGTGAGTGTCTGGGAATATATTGTCAGGTCTTGGAACCAGAGTAACAGTAAGTGAGAACGAAAATCTTCCCATTTTGCGACAGTGTCAAATATGTGCGCGCGTACTACCGGGTGTCAGTTCGTGAAACTGAAATGTAATGGTTGATAAACGTTGTTTTCACGAACTGACACCCACTTGCGCATGACTGGGGTCAGTTTGTGGGGCCGATGACGAATATTATTGCGATATGGTAGTCAACATGGGAGTCCAAAGTCATTGCATTATCTCGCTGTTGATAAGCTACCAGGGTCAATGAGCAACAGCTGCCCTTCAAAAAAGATGTCTGATAATAATGGATGTATTCTCAACCACGTCAAGAATAGGTTAATTATCGTGTGATTTGATTGTGATTATTTTCCAGGTGCCTTACCACGCTAAGTCACTCAGATTTACATCTGCGCGCAACCAAGGCGTATAAGGAGTCTTCTGTGGTTGTACTGGTATACTCTTGCGTAAGTTTTGTATTAAGAAAAATCATATAAATGGAAAAAAATAGTATAAATTCACACCAAATTATGCCGTAAGTTTGGAAGTGCTGCCCGTGAATGTTTCACCATATTTAGTTTTAGGTTTGGTTGGGTTCACACACACCATTACAAGATTGCTGCTTTTATTTCTCTCTAACAAGGAGGACGTGTTAACTATTATAATGCCACCGTTACAAACATGATGCATACCAACATCATTGTTGGTATGACTTACTTTACTTTGATCGGGTCGTTCTCAGATCCCGATCCATTATGGACTTCCAATTGGCTCTTTTCCCCATAACACTTTTGATTCCCTGGATTCAGAGCAGTATCTTGCCTAATCAGGAGGTATATATAGGTCATGGCTAGTCGTCTCCTTCCCTTGGTTGCCATAGCTGTGAAACATCCTTGCGTCGGCATGCCCAGATCATTCTCCTCCACCTAATAATATCCGTAAGGAATGGTAGATCTCCGTATACGTACTCATTGGGACATGTTGGTCGGCGCATCTACAGCAGTATGTTCAGAGCAGCCCCTAGAATTATAGGTGCCTTCTAGTCCGCGGGCCAGTTTTACATGGTCTAGGACTGGAATCCGGAGAGAAAAACCGACTCTACATGTGGTGTAGTACTGACTTGTAAAGATTGGAAACTGACTTCATTCACATTACATAAACATGTAAATTGTAATTCCAGTGTTGTAATTTGCACATCACTTAACTCACACTTTCTTTTATATCCATAACCAGAGTAAACTTAAACGATGTCGCCCAGTCTGTCGACAGTGCTGCTTGTGGCCCTCTTGTCTCAGTTGTTTGTGCTGCCAGCTTTGACCAGCAGCAAAGGAGACGATACACCTGACTCGAAAAAGTACAAGTTCTTGTACTTCGCTTCCATCATGGGTGGAAGCCACTACGTGGCACTGGCCAGATCGGGAAGGGCACTGGTCCAGCAGGGTCACCGTGTTGTATCCCTTGTTGGCAGCTCCAACTCCAACAGAAGCTGGCAGAGAGACGCCGACGTCTTCTCCTTCGTGGTCTTCAACTCGACCTATACCAAACAGAACAGGACCGACGTGATGGACAATATATCCAAGGTGATCGTGAAGGGACATCATAATCACTTCTTTGGTCCCTTTTTGAATTCAGCGAATCTGACGGGCAAGCTGAATTTTATGGATATGTGGCTTCAAGAGTGTGACGACCTTTTGGGGGATTCAACCGCCATGGAGCGACTGCGCAAGGAGAAATTTGACATGCTTGTCGTAGACGACATGATACCTTGCGGACCACTGTTGGCCCAGACTTTAGATATCCCATTCGTTCATAGCTCCGTCTTCTTTGTCATTCCGTCTAAACACGGGCATTGGTAAGTTATCTCTTTCTTGTCCTAGACTAATTTTGCTGGGTGCACACTGTTAAAAGTCCAGACACGAGACTGTTTTTTTTTTAGGGTACACACTCTCAAAAGTCCCTGGTCAGAGACCCTGGGCGTTGGGGCGCACGCCCCCCCCCCCCCCCCAAATCGTCTGCCTTCCTACCCCTTCCTGGAAGTTTGGCAACAGAAGAACAAACATAAATTGCCCTTTCTGCACATTTGTTGCATTTTTGTAGGCAAACTCTGTTTTTATTTGCGATTGGCTGTTTAAATGTTCCGCGGAAAGCGCATACCACCACCTATATTGTCTGACAATAACCATGATTACGTTTTTGAACAGCGCCCCATTGAAAGATGGTGTCCAGTCCTCCCCTCCCCTCCGTTTCCCACTTCCATTCTCTCACACCCTTTTTATTTTTTACGAAGGTTATAATTATGTCTATACCTTTCAAATTGGGTGCCCCTCCACTGTAACATCCAGCCCTCTCCCCCACTCGTCCCTAGAATGACAATCCTAGGCCGCTGGGATCCGGGGCATGCCCCCTCCCCCTTTCTATGGCAACTTGAGAATAAAGTAGGAACGGTGAGTCAAATTGTATTATTTGGACCCATTTCTAGTTTTACTATTAAAAAGATTCAGCGGCTGATCACAGGAGCTGCAACCCACCCCCAGATCCGCTATACTATATGCCCAGAAGTGATAACATGTGATGTCCACACAGTGCTTCGCAAACGATTTCGGCAAAACTTAAGAAGCCTGGGTTTGAACCCGATCACTATAATGCTTCCTTGAAGAGTTAGGAGCTGAGAAAGTTTGTCACAATCTTTTTCCTTTTTATTTCAATCAGGACTGGACTTCCAACATATCCATCGTACATACCGGAGCGCAACATGGGACTCACCAACAAAATGACGTTCCTCCAGCGAGTGCAGAACGTCTTAGTCCATTATTTGTACGGTTTGATCCACTTCCGTACCCGTATGGGCATATGCAACTTCGATGGTTATGATCAGCTAAAGGTCAAGTACAACATCAAGCCAGAAATTAGCACGCTGGAGTCATATAAGCAAGCCTTACTGTACTTTCTACACGGGAGCTTCGCGTTGGAATTTGCCCGCCCCATGCAGCCCAACACAATCCTTATTCTCCATCATCCTGGAGTGAATGGAAACCAAACGGTATGTAGTCTGGAAAATTACCAACTTTGTTTGCAATTGGACTAGGAGCTCCCGTGTGTGTGTTTGAAAAGATGTGATGGGCGAGAATGCTTCTTGTATGAAATCCATCCATCTGAATGAACTGATTTCTCAGCGTGTTTCCTGTTGAAGTTTTTCGGTGGAGATGGCGATTATGTCGATGACATGGAAGATGAGAATGTGGATAGCAATAGGATTTTGACACTGGGCAATAAGAGTGACGATTGCATTGACGGTACTGATGATATGATAGACGATGTCCGTACCAGTGAGAGTGATGTTTTATGTTTGAGATAATAATGATGGCCTACATGCAGTGGCAATTTAAAAGACGATGGCACTAGCAATGACGTAAGGACACTCAAGAGGGTAATGGTAATGGCAATGACAGTTACCATTACCATTTGGCACCGCACGGACGATGACAGTGACAATGACAATGATCATGGCGATGTCAGTGAGAATGACATTGACCATTCAGGCATTGAGGATAATTGGAACGAAGATGATGGAGATATCTGGAACAAAGGAGCCTAGAAAAAAATTACCTTGCACAATGACGTAGCTGACTAATTGTTTGTCTTCCAAACTTGCAGCTGGAAGAGGATGTTGCCCAGTTTCTGGATACTGCTCCCTCCGGAGTGGTGATGTTCTCCATGGGCTCTTTTGTTACGATGATGGAGCGTGAGCAGGCCCAGATGTTCGCGGATGCCTTCGCTATGCTACCGCATCGCGTACTGTGGCAGTCAGGCGCCGACTTGTCAGGACTTCGGCTCGGGAACAACACCTTGGTTGCCAAATGGTTGCCCATGACACAAGTCATGGGTGGGTGATAGAGATCCAAGCATACGAGGCTGTCTGTGCCTTTTTATGAGAATTTGACTATGATTCTGGTTTTTGCATGTAGAAGTCGCCAATGACAAGGCTGATAAGGCCACCCACGGTAGGGGCTAAAACAACAAAGATGGACACATGGTTTGCTTGCCTCTGTACAACAACCTAAGCGGTGCGATACATGTATATGAATGATTACCTTTATCTAAAGATTTTATCTGAAAGCATCAGCATGGGACTGAACACATTGTAATCAGTGGTCAAGGAATAGGTGATTAGCGCAGATGTTAAGGCATCAAGATACCACCAGAAACAGATAACGGAATCTTACACTTTAAAAAGTGCCTGGTCAGAGTGACCTGTTAAACACGGTCATTTTAATCTGAAAATTTTAAAGGTCAAGAAGACACTTTTGCCAAAGTGTCCGGACCGCAATGACTCGGAAAGTTGTCAAGAGAAGAGTCATTTTGACCATGAAAGTTACAGGTGAAATATGACCCGGATTCTAACCATGGACTAAATTCTAACCAAATCTAACCATGGACTATTAAAGCGTGTATTCTGTGGGAAAGCTTGAAATATTGTCATAAGACGATAATCAGATGTACAAGTGAGCCTTTCTACGAAAACTGTCTAGCTGTACTTTACATGTGTCCAGGAGCTTATCTTTGTGTTTGTTAATTTCTTGTTCACAGAACACCCTAATGTACGACTGTACGTCAGTCAAGGTGGAGCTTTAACCCTTAACGAGGCACTGTGGGCGGGGTTGCCGATAGTTGGTCTTCCCCTGGCTGAAGATCAGATGGACAACTTGGTCCGCGTAGAGGCAAAAGGTGTTGGGTTGAAAGTGGATATCGCCAGCATGACACCGAGAACTCTGAGCCAAACCATCGGTAGAGTCATGACAGAGCCCAAGTAAATACCTTGTGTATCGCGATTACCTTTTCTGCAACCAAGTACATATAGACAATTTGAAACCCCAATGTGGATTGGTTGTAGTTTAAGAGTCGGAAAGGAACCACACACATGACATTTGAAATGATGGGGGGAAAACTCACTAGTTGAATAATGCTTTATTTTTAATAAAGTATTATTAAATTAATTTACTTATGTGCAGATTTTGCTTATAGATACCGTGAGAACGCACGACGCATCTCCGAGATCATGCGAGATCTCGAGACCTCAGCCTCCCCCGTGGACACCATGGCTCGCTGGATACTGCACGTGACCCTGTTCGGCGGAGATCACTTACGACCGGCCGTCCAGGATCTGAATTTCGTCCAGAGGAATCTTCTTGACGTCTACCTATTCTTGGCTGTCGTGCTGGCCTTGGTTACTTGGATCAACGTGACCGTGAGCTCTTTTTGCTTGAGGTGCATGTGTTGCAAAGGCCGGAATAAAAACCATCTTAAGAAGGAGTAGGGACATTGGTGAATAAAATCCCGGGTCAGATTCGACCCTGAATCCGGGTCAGATGTGACCTGACACTCTTTCGAGTCAAAAAGACATTTATGTGTAAAAAAAAAAAAAACAGGAAGGACAATTTTCTTGGTCAAGCGTCCCAGGACACTTTTCTGGGTCCAGTCCCCCAGAAAAAGTGACTCAGAGAAGTTCACCTTGACCCGAAAAAGTGTACGGTCAAATTGACAAGGATTCTGGGTTGAAATAATCATCTGAAGAAGGAGTAAACTAACTTGGTGAATCTGCACACATTCGACCCGAATCCGGGTCGAATTTGACTCTTCCAAGCAAAACGACAATTTTCGTGTCTAAATGACACTTCTATGGGCCAAAATAGTTTCTGTCAAACGGACACTTTGTTGGGTCAAACGGAAACTGTGCTGGGTCAAATGGCCCAGAAAAGCGATAAGTGTTATATTGACGCGGAAAAAAGTATCAGGTCCAAACTGATTTGGAATCTGGATCCACTCTGACCCGGGTCTTTCAAGAGTTCGCAAATGTATTTCTTACCAAGACTTGCCAAAAACAAAATGCAATGAAGATTATTGCATGCTAACAAAATTGGTTTATGTAGATTTAATAAAGTGAATGTCCTGAAACAATTTTAGGCCTACATTGAACTACAAACCATTCGTGATTTTAAAGTGGCATTCATTCATTGAAAATATCATTGTGTTGCATTTAACAAGTTCACTCTTACAACCTGCATCCAATACGTAATGTATTTTGTCTCTTCTATAAGCAGCTTCCGTATATCCGTGTAATTAAAAATGGCCCGATACCTAAATGTAAACTTAATACAATGTTATGTGCTGATATAGATGAGCTATAGAGCCTACAGTACAGCATTGTTTGTTTTTGAGCTTCCGGACCCCTCAGCGACCCTATGGGCTTTTTTTACAGGGGGTTGCCCTTTCTCTTGCTGTAATGTCTGACAGAAGGATTTCCACCGTAATAACCCCAAGAAACGTTATAATATTTTTTTGGCATACCACAAGAAAAAAAAATGATGAGAAATCAGAAGGATATAGGTAAAAATGAATTTTACTAACGACCTTTCACGTCCGGATGTTTGTACCTTGGTCTCCTTTTTCGATCACGTTTGTTTTCACATCGTGTGCTTGCATGAGAACGACAAATATATAAACGATACGAACAATTACCTACCTACATCCGATTGATTCCAGATTAAGTCGGGCTTGCTTGAATGCAGTTCTTATCAAGGGTTATTTTACATTTGTTTGTAAATGAGATTAGTCCTTCAATTTTATTCAAGAAATTGTGGATCCTAAAAGACATTTTATTCTCCTATTTAAGTTTCAGTTTTTACTCAATGACCGCCACAAAATGATTTCAAAATTTGTCATCTTTTGTACGAGTGCTCCGAGTTTTACTAGTCCACATGTGTTTTACATTTTCGGAAGAGAGAGTTAAATTTTTGGCACGGTTACACGTCATGCGATTTTTCAGTTACAATAAATTGAAATGCTAGTAACAATTTGACAAATGCCTTTTCCGAGAGTGATATTTTTTCAAGAAATCAATGTACGAAAAATAATTCTAAAAACTCCAACTTTCACACGCTAGCTTTCCTATTCCAGGTTCCAGAAGCGCGCCACCAGGGTCAAATTCCAGGCTCTATTAAGGGGCCATTCATAATTTTCAATGTTTTAACATTTCGACTACTTTTCCAAATTGTGGGTGGGTGGGTCAAGCTAAATAATTGAAAATCGAAATTCACTTTTCATGGAAAAAAAAGAGCCAAATTTTTTTTTTTATCTTTTGACTTGCCTGAACTACGCGCAAGCGTTCCGATATTGCGATACGTTTTTCTTTTCCAACTTCGTCCCCTGTATGTTCTGTACATTTTTTTCCGAAAGGACAAGCAAGACGCACAGGCTCGCCAGTGGGATGTAATGCATGTACATGTTTTTTTATGCCTAACAAATCCGTTTTTTATTAATCGAAATTAGGGGTGGGTGGGTGGGTCAAAATAATTTGGAAAAAAAGTCGAAATTTTAAAACATTGACAATTCTGAATGGTCCCTAACACTTTACGCACCACTACACACTTAATCTTAGAAGTCCCTGATCGGGTTCGACCCGCCCATCCGCGTCCGATTTCACCTGACATTTTTTCGGGTCAAAATAACACTTTTCTTTGTCATTTTTTTTTTTGGGGGGGGGGTCATTTGATCTGGAAATCATTAATTGGACACGAAATAAAACATGTCAGTATGACCCCAAAAAGTATCAACTTGGCTCGGAAAGCTGACATTTTGACCCAGGAGTGTCAGGTCCAATCTGACCCGGATCTAGTGTGGAATCTGAACATTGACTTTATTCTAGCCACATTTTTCCTCTACTGCATTAAATACAAGGCATTGCTTTAAAGCTCAAGCACAAAAGTTGCCAAAGCATGATATTATGTAGAAACACGGATTGGCGTTTTTGCTCTAGGTTTGTCGCCAAACTTTTCTCATGGTTTCGTTTTTATCAGTTTCAACCAGTTTTAATATCTGTAATGCATTCATTGCTGATATTACTGTGACGCGTTTGTCAAATCAAAGTCTATTAAAACCTCACTCGGATGTGAAGTCTTCCTGTGAGTTTACTAGTGAGTAGATAAGAACTACGTTATCGTCACGTATAGAGTCGCTTTTCAGTACTATTTACCAAGGGGATCCGAATTTTACAATAAACATACTTTCTGCAACTTTTCATTTCTATCAAGCACGTTGTGATGAATCATCAAGTGTACGTTTTCGGTATACATCAACATGAACTGTGTAGTGACAATTCTTAGTGCTAAGTCATGATGCTAGAATATCAGAATCCAATTGGCCAGCACTGTTAGTGAGCGTGCTTTCAGTCATACCACCTCCTGAGCAATACTGCATTTTGATAATGCATCCTCTGTACTTTAGCAATGATGTGCATTTATTGTATAGGGATCATGTTGACCTATAAAAGGCAGAGTGTGAGAGAATAAACCTCTCTTCTTCGCTTGGAGGGACCAAAGAAGTCAAAGAAGCCTCTTGTCTCTGCTTTATTGCCTATTTTTTGCTAATTAAAGGTGTAGGCTCCACCCACACTCACCGGTCAGCCACAGTTCAGCCACAAGTCAGCCACCGGTCAGCCACCCAAAGCCACCGGTCAGCCACCCAAAGCCACCGGCCAGTTAACCAAAGCCACTGGTCAGCCATGGGAGCCACCGGTCAGCCACCCAAAGCCAACGGCCAGGGACCCAAAGCCACCAATCAGCCACCCAATCCACAAATTAATCCACCCTGTCCACAGGTTAAAACACCCAATCCAAAGGGCTATCCACCCAATCCACTCAATCACCCACAACAAGTGCATTATATTTATTCCCTTATAACTTGACCGAAAAGGTATTTATGAATGGGCATAAAATAATATGTGTTCGGTCGGTATTAAACACTCTGTTTAAGACCGGTGGGAGTCTGGATGGGTAATTATTACCCCTGGCTTCGCCTCGGGTAATACCCATCCAGACTCCCACCGGCCTTAAACAGAGTGTTATAATACCTCCCGAGCACACATTTATTCCCTTATAACAATTACTTTTAAATACATCCAAGTATCGTCTTCGTAACACCAGACAATCTGACAAGCTGTAAGAATGTCGGCAGATGCTGTGAAAATTGACATTATATCACTTTTAACAGCTAATAGTCTGACTCGGAGCTGTTTTTTTTTATAAATACAACAGAATTTCTACAGTTTAAAAGGAACAGAGAAAAGGGGTTATGAACAAGCAAATGCATTTATATGATTTTGCAAACTGCGCAATTCTGTATCGAATGGTATGGGATATGGTAATAATAATCGATTTGGAAAATTACTTTCTTGCGGATAGGGGCCGTCATAAATGTGAAGAAAATGTCAAGATGGCACTGTTAAATACCATTTCATAACACTTGTTTATTCTTTTTTTCATTTTTGCGACTGAAGAAAAACAAATTGTACAGACTGACGAATGGGGTGTATTGCCAACCTTATGAGTTACAACCACAATGAAGCTTTTTGACCATGAAATGCTTCTAACAAATAAAAATTCAGATTTCTAGTCTAGTTACGCAAGAGAATGAACCCGTTCCCGGGGTCGGGCTCCAGGAAACGACCCCTGTTTTTGCGAGAGTTGACGAGGTTTGGGTTGGAATAAGTCTCCTCATCAATTCCTTGCAAAAGCCGGTCTACAACCTCGACCCCTTGCATGAAAGAATGGTCCTGATTTGCAACCTCGTACCGCCATCCCCCGAACCGACCGCGGGAGTAGATGTGTTTTGCTTCTAGCCAGGGTTGGACAAACTGTAGGATGTTATCCCTTGCCAGGGAAGGCACTGGGTAGCCGCGATCCAGTCGGCGATAGTATTTAGACACAACCATGTCAGCTGAAATGAAACCGTACGTCACCAAAGCCTTGACTGTTGCCTCCACTACGTTTGTCTTTGTCCAATAGCTTGGGTCTGGCGCGTTCTTTGGTTCAGCAGCCTCACACATCAGGGACCAAAAGCTGTCAGGCCTGGGTACGTGATCGTCAGAGTAAGCCGAGAAAACTGTAATGCGGTAGAACGGAGAATCAGAGTCCGGAAAGTACATCCAGGATTTGTCGGACAGAATCTTAGGGGGTTGGCCAACGAGTCCAATGCCTATGACGTGAGTGTGAGAGTATATCAGCTTTGATGTGTAATGGTATATTTGAGCAAGTGATGGATCGTTACCTATAAGTAATTTTACAAATTTGTCCAAGGGTGCTGTCGATATCAGTGTGTCATAAGTCAATGAACGGTGCGAACTCCCTGCACTTCCGACGGTTATTGTTTTAGTGTCAAAATTGACATTCGTCACTTTACTTCGGAACTGAAACCATTCCTGCGGTACCAAGTTTGCAACTCCGCTCCAGATATTCCCGGTGCCGTTGAATCTTGGGAAGCGAAAGTACCGGTTGGGACCCCACCCCGAGTCCTCCACCGGAGTCCCTTGATCAAAGGCTTTAATCTTGGCTTGGATTTTGTTGACGTCGGGTACGGCGACTCGCTCGCCCACCCAGACCGAGTTCATTTCGGTAGTGTTGACCGTCCACACCTTCTTGTTGTATTTCCTCATGAACACTTCGCAGAGGCCGACCCCGAATTTCTGCAACAGCCACTGGTCGAAGTTCCTGGGCCTGCCGTCGGGAGGGTTGCGGGTGATCTCTTGGAGACCATCCAGGCTTCTTTTCTGGTCAGTTTTGTCCATGGCTTCGATGTTGTTCTGGACTGGGTAAGGGATGAATCTCCTTTTGCCGTCTGATCCCATCATGAAGGCAAAGGCCGCGCGGACTCGCTGGTTCCAGTGTGGTACTGCACGATCCAGCGTCTTGTCGAAATAATCGTAATGAGAGAAGACGACATGGCCTCCCATGTCCCAGAGAAAGCCTTGATTGTCTCGCTCAGAAGAAGCCAGTCCGCCCGGTAGAGCTTCTTCTTCTAGGATGGTAACCTTGGTGTTAAACTGGTCTCTGAGTTCGGCCAGTCGTCGTGCTGCGCCTAGTGCCGTTGGTCCCGAGCCGATGATGACAATATGACGGGGCTTGTGACCCTGCGTTAAGCTTTCCTGTTTGTTAGATTTGCCCCCGGTTGGTCGTTGACTACTGCATAAGCCATTTGAAACTGCTGGAATGTGAAACCAGTCTGCAAAAATAAAAAGAAGGTTGAGGTGCTTAAGTTTTTGGAAAGAAATTCCAGTGGTTACTAACAGTGCATTAGCTGCTTGCGTGAAGCTGAAGACGTAACACTAGAAAATTGGTGCTTTCAATAATTGTTACATTATATTTGTTTCTTAATTATAGATTGCCATGCTCCGTATAAGTACTACCGAGGTCATCCTTCCACCCAGCCAATAGTAATTATGGCCTGAAACCCTATGAGGCCTCAACCCCTATGAGTTTTATTTAATTTCAGTCACGCATCACTGCATAATTGTCTATTGAGCACAACAACATGTTCGGACACTGTGACCAAGTTTCTTGCTTTATTCAATTTCAGTGCTGTGTTAGGTAAGCTGAATCCTGCAGGCTGTGAAAAAAAAAGGCTGATGTAGTTTGGGATTGGAATCATTTGCCCTCGAGCATGAAATTGATAGGTCTTGCCATGATGACTGATAGCCAGGCAAATGATTCCAATCCAAACTGCAACCCTTTTCACAACATGAAGAATTTTACACAGCTTACTTACAATACGATGTAATTGAATAAGGCAAGGAATTTGGTCACACTGGCCAAAAAAATATTATTGGGATCATTAATGTAGTGATGCGTGACTGAAATTAAACGAAACTCAAAGGGGTTAAGGCCAAGGCTCAGGAGTATCTGCACATGCAAAACAAAATCAACATTGACTTCATGGCTTGTAGTCATTTCAAAAACAAGTAAGACGGATACTTTTATGGGAACATACTGTTAGTAGTGAATGCAATGCTTGTTCATACATTCTTATATTTGAAAGTAACTGTTCCTTAAATCTGTGAAGCAGTGTGGCCTAGCTCGTGTTAATAGGGTTCGTGACTCATCATCAGAAGGTCAGGGGTTCGAATCCAGGTGCTGGCCATTATGCTTTGCCCTTGGGTAAATCTACTTCATCTCCACTTGCCTCTCTCCGCCCAGGAGTACAACTGGATACCGGCATCATTTGGGAAGTAAACTGCAACGGACCAGCATCCCATCCAGGGGATTTCTCAGTCGTTTCATGCTACTGAAACCGCAGATAAATGCCAGCCTGATGGGCCACATTGGCTGGTGACAGGCTATATTTTAGTCCTTAAATGGAACTCTTGCTGAAATGATATACTCACCGTAATTATACGACGGTGCTTTGCAGATTTCGGACTGAGACTGCTGTGTTATTATAGGGACTGGGTCCGCCAAAAATTTAGATCTAAATGTCTGTGCCTAATAAAAACAAAATGAAGAAACGGTATACGTAACATGTCAAAGGGAATATAAAGACAGCATGGATAGCCCAAAACAATTATTTGTCAGCAGACCATTGTTCTGCAATCACCATGATGAACTTCATCTTTATACCCAAAACTATTGCAACACTTTCTTTTTTTCTAAGGGTAAATCTTCTCCAACATTTTATTTGAAACTCGGTGAAACATGAGATATCGTGTAGAAAAAAAAATGTTTTTCGATGTATCACTTGAGTGATGTCCGACAAATCAATATGAAACTAATTCTGCTATAGATTTCTGGTTTGTTAAACCTGAAAATCATTAAAAAGTCTCATTTGTTTTGAGAGTGCTAAACTAATGTTTTGGATTCTTAACTCGCCATTTTTTTTTTACATGCCTAGATCAAACAACATTCAATAATTATCTATTATTCAAGGAGAATATCGTAAAGCCATAGATATACCTTATGCGTAGCAGCAATCTTATAGAGGACATTTTGCCTCTGTTTTGCTGGGATATGCACGAGTGAACCTTTTGTGTATTCATTGTTACTGAATTAAAATAACAAAAGATGCCCTCTAAGAAGGTCGCTACGTATAAGGTCTATTACTATCATCTGACGTGGCAGCCATAAGACCGAAAAGGTATTTATGAATGGGAATAAATGTTTGTTTGGGAGGTATTATAACACTCTGTTTAAGACCGGTTTGAGTCTGGATGGGCGATAATTTCCCTCGGCTTCGCCTCGGGTAATTATCGCCCATCCAGACTCAAACCGGTCTTAAACAGAGTGTTTAATACCGACCGAACAAAAATGTATTCCCATTCATAAGTACCTTTTCGGTCCAAAAATTAAAAAAAGTCAAAAACTAGACGTTGCCCACTATTTTTTTTCAACAATTTTACATCATGTTTTTACGAAACACCCCTATGACTAAAATATGGAATGCCCCTCTACAACTCATTACCTTATAGGGACATTGGCGCGCGCGTCGCGCGCACTGCGCGATGTCGCGCAAAACGCAGCTGTACATTGCGCATGCATACGGGAGGAATTTGAACGTTCAACCAATGAAACGTTAAAAGGCACCGGATTTCTTAGGAGTCCAAATTTCATGTAACACTGGAAAAGCGTTTAAGACCAGCTAGCCATTTCATTATCATCCGTTTAAGACCGGCCACGTGACGGGCTTTCGACCAATAGGAATGCGTAAACTGTCTTAGGTATTTATGAATAGTGAATAAAGCCATCGAAACATGTGCCGCTTTAAGTCCTTAAAGAAGACCTCATTGATAAAAATTAATGGGAATGTCTTCTAGATATTAATACCTCACATTTACTCAGTATATAGTGACCTTAAAACAATGGCAGCACACGGGCTTTGATTGTGTGATTGAGCGCTTCAACTGCTTGATATTTAGGCCTATGATTTTCTACTTCGAAATTCTTCAGAATGTTGATTCCTAGAAACTCGAAAATGTCAAGGTGTATTTGTGCGACATATTGACTAATGGTTTGATGTTCGTTCCAACTATGTTCATTTCATGGGAAGCAGTTTGTAGTGCCCGAAAGTGCGCTTTGGGACGGAAGAACTCCGTTACTCCACATGAGTTGTAGCCTTTGGGTGTGTCAGGGATAATTACCTCAGACTGGTCTCCAAACTCGTTCATGGCAAGATCAAAGGTTCTCCCTTTCTTTGAGTTGTGTTCCTCGATGAAGGCCATATTCTTCTCCCACATCGCTTTCCTGTCAGCTTCCTCGGCCAGGCTCTCGTACTTCTTGCCGTATCTTTCCTTCCATGCCTGCCACTGTGATGTCGGGCACGACCTCGACTTGATGAGCTCATCATTAGTTGTCGCCAGTACAAAGCTGTAGGCATGAAATGCTGCCACAAAGACAAACGCTGTCCGCAAAATAGCAATACCGACAATCATATTGGAATAACGTCTGTTAGTGCTAAAGACATATGTGCATATACTTGCATATTATTCGATGTGCTTCTGCATCCATGTTGATGGCACAGCTGCAGGCATCCAAATTTGCGTGGCCTAAAAATGGCACAGCAAAGTGCGTGAAAAAAGGGGGCCAGAGTGCAACAAACCTGAGAGTGGCCTTACCTTTAGCCAAAACCTTTTAGGTCCTCAAAATTTGATGGTCTTACGAAATAGTCATTAAAGATCAAGGTACGATATTTTCCGAATTTGTAGTGGAGCAACTATATTGCGATATGGTAGTTGACATAGGAGGCCAATGTGATAAGCTACCAGGGTCAATGAACAACAGCTGCCCTTACATCAAAGAACCCTAAAAATAGATGTCCAATAATAATAGACATAGGCCTACTCTCAACTCAACTCAATCAGAGTGCAAGAATAGGTCAAAGCGTGAATTGAATGAGATTTTACAGCGGGTGCCCTACCACAGCTTGACTCATTCCTGCACGACCTGCAGTGAGGCGCATAAATTAAGGAGTCGTCTGTGGCTGTGTCCTGGTAAACTCTTGTGTTAGTTTTGTATTAAAATAATTTTCGGTTGGGTGCCTGTTGGGTTAACACCCGCCATTAGGCCTACACGGTCTTAAATTTCTCTAAATGTTACGTTAATAACAAGTATGATGTCTATACCAAAATCATTGTTGGTTTGATATACTGCAATGAATTAGGAAAATCTTGAGTGTTGTTTGTTGAAACTCTTGATTGTTGTTTGTAGTTAGTGCTGCAATGAGTGTGTATACCACTGACTTGTAACGATTAAAAACATGACTTCATTTACGTACAGAAAATAAACATGTAAGCTTCAGTGTTATTTGCACATCACTGAACTCACACTTTCTTTTATATAGAGTCCATAACCTGAGAGAAAACTTAAACGATGTCGCCCAGTCTGTCGACAGTGCTGCTTGTGGCCCTCTTGTCTCAGTTGTTTGTGCTGCCGGCTTTGACCAGCAGCAAAGGAGACGATGCATCTGACTCGAAAAAGTAAAAATTCTTGTACTTTGCTTCCATCGCGGGGGGAAGCCACTACGTGGCCCTGGCCAGATCGGAAAGGGCACTGGTCCAACAGGGTCACCGTGTTGTATCCCTTGTTGGCAGCTCCAACTCAAACAGAAGCTGGCAGAGAGACGCCGACGTCTTCTCCTTCGTGGTTTTCAACTCGACCTACACCAAACAGAACAGGACCGATGTGATGGACAATATATCCAAGGTGATCGTGAAAGGGCATCATAATCACTTCTTCGGTCCTTTTCTAAATTCAGCGAATCTGACCGGCCGACTGAGTTTTTTAGATATGTTTCTTCAAGAGTGTGACAACCTTTTTGGGGATTCAACCGCCATGAAGCGACTGCGCAAGGAAAGATTTGACATGCTTGTCGTAGACGACATGATACCATGCGGACCACTGTTGGCCCAGGCTTTAGATATCCCATTCGTTCATAGCTCCGTCTTTTTCGTCATTCCTTCTAAACACGGGCATTGGTAAGTTATCTATTTCTTGTACGAGGCTTATTTTCGAGGGAACCCACTCTTAAAGTCCCTGGTCAGATATGACCTGGAAATGTCTTTGGTCAAAGAATAAGTGAAACATTCCTTCACGAGTTTCTGGTATGGTCAACACAAGTGACAGAATTATTAGAGAAAGTGGAGATTGTACACAAAAGTACCATTGATAGTTGTCCACAGGGCTATATTTTTTTAAGTATAACTCTGTATGGTTGCCACAACTTTCTCTCTACGGCTCTGAACAAAAAATGCTGCCAATACACGAGCTTGATTAAAGGTTCACACGGTGTCAGCAAAAATAGGAAATTGGGGACTTGATCCTAAGCACTAGGTGCTGAGAAACTTATTCTAATACAAAATGAAAAGTTGAACAGGAAATTGAGAAAAGTTCACATATTGTCTTCTGAATAATGACCTGGGTCCTAATGGATAAGGCGATCTTCGTAATTTAGATGTGGTATCTCTGTCGAAGAATCACACTGTATAGTAGCTCTTTGGCCTCTCGACATGCTATGTGCGATACACCCATACCAGTAATCCAACATTTTGGAGACAGTTTCATCAACTTATCTGGCGATCCCAGGACACTAGTCAGAAGCCATAAACCAGTATGCCATTCAGCCCGAATCACGACCAAAGTCACGATTCAGACCCAGGATATAGCAAACAGGGATTACTCGGAGAGGATACGGCTTTTTATTACACATTTTGAACCGAACCACACAGAAAACATGGCTTGGTGAACTATAACCATTGAAAAGTTGAAGAAAGAAATTATCTGGAGCGATTTTGAAGCTGTGAACTCCGGATAATCGTTCCGGTGTGGCTTACCAACTTAAGCAAAGATATTGACTAATTGGGGAACCGCCAACATAGGGCTTGATAGCTTAGTAGGTAATAAGAGCACAGGAACGGTTATCCGGAGGTCGCAGGTTCAAGCCACGCTTCAGACAATTTTGTTCAACTTTTCAATTGTCGTTTCCCTTTGTGTTTCATTTGCAAATTCTTATGTTTCAATCAGGACAGGGCTTCCAATCGATCCCTCGTACATACCGGAGCGCATCATGGGACTCACCAACAAAATGACGTTCTTTCAACGAGTGCAGAATGTTCTAGCCCACTATTTCTATGGATTTGTCTACTTCCGTCTGGGCATATGCAACTTCGATGGTTATGATAAGCTAAAGGTCAAGTACAACATAAAGCCAGAGATTAGCACGCTGGAGTCCCATAAGCAAGCCTTACTGTACTTTCTGCACGGGAGCTTTGCGTTGGAATTCGCCCGCCCCATGCAGCCCAACACAATCCTTGTTCTCCATCATCCTGGAGTGCTCTCAAACCAAACGGTAGGTAGTCTTGAAAATTACCAACTGGTTTGCATTGGGAGATCCTGTGCGTATTTGAAAGATGTGATGGGTGAGAATGCCTCTCATATGAAATTTATATTTATTTGAATGAATTTATTTCGCTTTGTTTTTCCATATTGTTGAAGTTTGACAGTGGAGACGACAATGATATAGATTATTTTGAAGACGATTAGGACAATTATTTTGAGATGACAAAAAGGATGGCTATAACAGTGATATTATGATGATGCCAACGGTACTGCAGATATTGGCGATGATCACAATGATAATAACAATGAAGATGAGAATGTGGATAGCAATGATTTTCTCACAAAAACAGTGACGATGACATTGACGGTAATGCTGATATAATAGACGATATGACCGTCCGTATACTAGCGAGAATGATTTGTGCTTGAGATATAGTCATGACTATACGGTGACAATTGGAAAGACGGTGACAATAGCAATGACATAAGTAAAGCATTTAACATGGCAATGGCAATGGCAGTTACCATGGATATGGCAGTGGCACAGACGCTGGCAGTATTGGAGTGTCATGACCTAGCGTTTTTAAGACCGCACTCATGCTCCGGTGTTTCAGAGGCAACAGTGCCGTGGGTTCGAGCCCGGGTCTGGACACATGTGCCCTTAAGCAAGGCACTTAACCGTTATTGCTTCGTCCTTCGGATGGGACGGAAAGCCAGAGGTCGTTCCCCTGTGTATTGTGTAATTATTGCATGTAAAAGAAACCAGTAACACTTATCGCTAAGAGAAGGGGTTTGCCCCGGTGTTTCCTGGCCTCCTGTTAATATTCCCCTGCGGAGTCCTTAGGAGAATGAACCACCCAAGTACCAAGTACCAAGTGGTCATGACGATGTCAGTGAGAGCGACTTTGACCGGGCATTGACAATTGATTGGGCGAAGATGATCGAAACATCTGAAACAATGGAGCTAGATAAAAACATCACCTTGCACAATGACGTAGCTTACTAATAATTGTTTGTCTTCCAAACTTGCAGCTGGAAGAGGATGTCGCCCAGTTTCTGGATACTGCTCCCTCCGGAGTGGTGATGTTCTCCATGGGTTCTTTTGTTACGATGATGGAGCGTGAGCAGGCCCAGATGTTCGCGGATGCCTTCGCTATGCTACCGCATCGCGTACTGTGGCAGACAGGCGCCGACTTGTCAGGACTTCGGCTCGGGAACAACACCATGGTTGCCAAATGGTTGCCCATGATACAAGCCATGGGTGGGTATTGATAGTTTGCACAGATCCAAGCAAATGAGGCAGTTTCCACCTGTCGTTATGCTACATTTCGATACCCCGTTTGCTACCAAAGACTGTAAATCGTCCAACATTGACAATGGTTATTACAAAAGCTGCAGTTTGAAAAGTTACAATTATATGGAAGTTACATTATATTAAATTTGCAAGAGTATGGGAGTGGAAATTGCTGCGTAACAATGTGACTCGTACTGCCCAAAACGAACGGCAGGGAATATCGACCGCACTGTGCTTGTATGCATGTACGTCATGCGTCACTGTTCGGGCACAATGCAGTCGATGGGGGCTAAACTACGGGCATGTGTGTTTGAGCTTGGCAATTTCTCCTCGCGTATTCTTGAAATTTGGAACTTTTCAAAGGGCATCATTTTCATATCCGTCATTCTTGGACAATTAACAGCCTTTGGTAGCAAACTGCGAATCAATAATGTGGCCCACAACATTCCCAAAGGTCTATACAAATGACGTCATCATAAGACGATCAGATTCAAAATCATGACGCCTCCAATAAGTGTGGACTTTTTTGGCAGTGTTTACATCAATACTATACCAGAAACAGATAACATTTTAAAAAGTCCATGGCCTGAGTTGACCCGTGCAACTGTGACCGGTATAAATCGAATCAATGTGGAAACAACTCGGATTCACTTGCCTCCGGGCTTTATTTTTAAATCTGTCGGCAAAATAGAAGAACAGAATTAGACAGTGATGACTATTTCTGCCGACGTCAGAGATCAGAATCCAATTAATTAAAAAATATACTATTAAATGATAAATGAAATTGTCAAAACTAGCTTATCTATATTATTATTTGAACTTAAGTCCTACTTGGGCTGAGGTAATTCAAAATGGCAGCCGGTCGGGTTTCTTTCTTCCCGGAATTATACATTTTATGAAAGTAAACCGGCAATAACAATCCAATAGTTGCCAAAAGAACATCGACTAAAGTAGCTTGGCCAAAGATTAAAGGTGGATGGCAACATTAAAGATATAAATAATGAAATATTAGTACGTTTACTGGCAGGTTCCCGCCAAAACCTTCAAGGCATCCGCCATCTCGAAAACGTATTTTAGCTTGACGAAATAACTTACAAAAACACAAATATTAAACAATCTTATCAATATAAACGCAAGGAGCATTACTTGCTCTTCCTATAACAGTCAGATTCAAGGAAAATGAATAAAGGGAAGATCTGATTATACTAAATCGGTTTCGAATGTCGGGACTCTCTGGTCCTAAACCAACCTACGTCTCTCAAACTAAAATAACTTCAAAAGGCTAGTTTCTAGAGCCAAATGCAATAGTAATAATACTAATAAGTATGATTAATTTAAATAAATGGTTCTAGTGTAAATATATAAAGATATTCCAAAGAAATGGAAAGGATCATTACCTGTCGGCAAAATAGAAGAACAGAATTAGACAGTGATGACTATTTCTGCCGACGTCAGAGATCAGAATGATCCTTCGCGGGTAAATTTGAAAGATCATGCGGCCACAGAGGGCGCTCGAATTATATGAATACATGAATAATTAAGCAGGTAAGAGGAATACTAAAGATGCGCTTTTGTTCAATCTGTCACACAACCTTGAAACTTCGGTGTCAAGATGACACTTTTGACAAGGTTGCCGGACCAAAATGACTCGGAAATGGTCAAGAGAAGTATCTTTTATCAAATCTAACATTGGAGTGTTAAAGAGTGCAATCTGCGGGCATGGGTGAGAAAGTTTGAATTATTGCCATAAGACGATCATCAGATGTACAAGTGAGCCTTTCCACGAAATCTGTCCAGCTGTACATCATATGTGTCCAGGAAGTTATCCTTACGTTTGATGACTTCTTGTTCACAGAACACCCTAATGTACGACTGTACGTCAGCCACGGTGCAGCCTTAACCCTTAACGAGGCGATGTGGGCGGGTTTGCCGATAGTTGGACTGCCGCTGATTGAAGATCAGATGGACAACTTGGTCCGCGTAGAGACAAAAGGTGTTAGGTTGAAAGTGGATATCGCCAGCATGACACCGAGAACTCTGAGCCAAACCATCGGTAGAGTCATGACAGAGCCCAAGTAAGTATGACTGCGATTACACTAACCTAATACAGATACTGGTTATAATTTCAAATCCAAATGTGGATTGGTTCCAGTAAGAGTCGGATAGGAACCAGACTCATAACATTTGAAATTATGGGGAAAAACTCACTAGTAGAATGAATCATGCAGGCTGGTGACGGGTGTAACCCAACTACCGTACATTGCGGTGATATTGCAAGGCATTTATGTTGGACACATTCATGTATCATATGCATGGCATGGCCCTCTTTGCCACCCCCTGGATCTGCCTTTGAGCACTTTGAGATGTTGATAAAAAGCTTTAAAATAAACACGTACCACATTACTTTTATTCTCAACCTTCTCAACCTCGTGTCTATTACTGTGTAAATTTGGCGGATAGATTCCGTGAGAACGCACGGCGCATCTCCGAGATCATGCGGGATCTCGAGACCTCAGCCTCCCCCGTGGACATCATGGTTCGCTGGATACTGCACGTGACCCGGTTCGGCGGAGATCACCTACGACCAGCCGTCCAGGATCTGAGTTACGTCCAGAGGAATCTTCTTGACGTCTACCTATTCTTGGCTGTCGTGTTGGCCTTGGTTACCTGGATCAACGTGACTGTGTGCTGCTGTTGCTTGAGGTGCATGTGTCGTAGAGGCCGGAATAAAAACCATCTCAAGAAGGAGTAGAGAAACTTGGTGAATCTGCAGTCTTAAAAGTCCCGGGTCAGATGCGAGTTCGATCCTTAATCCGGGTCAGTTTTGACTTGACACTCTTTTGGTCAAAATGAAAAATGCCAAAATGTCAACATGAATTAAGTACGCTTTTCAGAAAGACTGTTACAATACTTATACTTACAATAGCAGGCGGCAGCTGCTTGGCACCCAAATTACACTATTCTAAAACAGCACACACAAAAACCAGAATACCAACCAAACTGCAAGCTACAAACAATATAATATTGAGATGTGCGTATAGTTCAATTTAAAAAGTCTAACCATACTTTGGGCACAAGCAAAGGCAAATTAGTCAAGCAATGTTTGAAGAATTCACTAATAAATTTTCCCTTGTTGGTATTAATGTAATGTACTGTGAAGTTCTTAGTCACATCAAACGGGTAACAGTTGGCAATACATGTAATTCTGATGTCATGGACATTGGCAACAAACTTTACTTCTAAATTTCGAGATATAGCGCACTATGTACATGCTGCTGTTTGTGATGAATATAAGCCAATTTATTTGATTTGCTTTATCAGAAGACATAAGGCCAAAATAGTGTCTTGTTTCTGGTATATTTCTACTCATATTCTAGAAGGAAACGACTGCCTTCAACGGAGGTATAAGGAAGAACATAAGTCACATTTGGAAATTGCAATACTGTATGTGAACACGTAATGTTCGCTTCGACCTGCGCGAAAACAGACCTTAAGTGTTCAGAAACTCACAAATTTAATCGAATGTGCGCTGACCGTCCTGGCGAGTTGTCCCTCAACTGCACCTATTTAACTTGAAGCTCGCATCTAATATTGTGTCCGTTGGATCAGCATCAGTTGCTGGGGCAAGAATCAGGCAATTGTTCTTAACGTGTATTTTTAAGTCGGACGTATCCAACAGAACGGGAGAGGATAGGGGAGGGAGGACTGGTCACCACCTGACTATAGAGGGTGATGTTAAAAGATACATATATGGAGTATCGTCCTTTATTCGCAAATATATTGTGTTAAGTAGGAAGGGGCGTAATCATACATGTCGCCACTACATTTTAAGTTAAATGGAATGGAGTTTGGCCGCCACCATGCATTTAAGTTTTTATCAGACTTGTGTTTTCTTAAAAAGAAGTGGTTTTCAAAATTCAGGGAATAATCTGTTGATATTAATAACTTGTTGGAAAGTTCCAAGGTCATTCCAAGAAAGTTGCCGCCGTGAATTAGGTTTTAAAACATGGGAGGGGGATGGGATTTGCTATCAGCATCAGCAGGGCCGTTCCTCATTCTTTTCTTTTTATGGGATGTATGAAAACATTGGAGTACGAGGGGCTCTGCGAGCTGATGAATCTTTTTTTGAAAACATTGTGTTTGCAACCAGCTAGGGAAGATTTTCGTTTATTTAAGACTTACAAGCACTGGTATGGATACCTGTGTAGTTATATGATTATACTGCCTAGAGCGTATTTGTTAAGGTTTTTTTTCCTTTTTTGGAAATTCAATACGCATATAGGGAGTAAAATCAGTTCCACTGCTGGGTTGCGGTGATGGGTGGGTTATGAGAACGGGAGTTTCAAAAAAACTCATCCGGTGTTTAGGCGACGCAGGGACTGGTTTGTGTACATGTGGTTTTTGTTTCTAGTTCACTTAATGATTTGATTTATACCGGTGATAATATGCCGTCTCACCTGTTTTTCTTTTTTGTGTGTCGGGGGAAACAGTGCATATTTTCTGTGCCCTTTTTACGCACTTCATCAGTCACCCATTGTTTAATTCTTTTGTACGTATTTACTTTATTGCTAATGATGGTAAAGAATATTTTACGCGTTAGCTTTTCTTGTAATGATCAGACTATGTGGATTCCTTTTTTTTTTTTTTTATTTCGAAATCCATGCCTAAATGACCATTATGTTAGTTCTGTTCTTCAAAAAGTTCCAAAAGGATTTGAACGTTCTCCTCATCCAAATTTTTTTCTTGGTTGGATGGTGGAGATGGGTTAATCCTTGATCGGACCAGGCCATCTTTTATGTTTTTTTTGTCGTTTGTATGCCAGGATGGGTTGGGTCGCAAAGAGTGCACTGAGAAAATCATTATCGCTGATCAGATTCCAGTGTTTCAGAAGGGCCTGCTTAAGAGCTGGGTGTTTAATTTGTGGGTTGTAGGGTAAAACAAAGACCAGCGGGATATTCTTTTCGGTTTTTGCACGCTTTTTAGAGTTCACGCGAGTTTCGCCTTTTTGGGGAAGAAGGGCTAAATCTTCTTGGTTGTATCCGCGTTTTTGTAGTTTGTCTTTGAAGAATTCAACCTTCTCCTCAAATTCTTTTGAGTGTGTGCATATACGGTCATATCTCATTAATTCTCCCTTAATCAAACCGCCAAACACTGACTCAGGGTGGGCTGAATCTCGAGCAAGATACTGAAAGGTATCAGTTTTTTTGGTTGCTACTCGAGTATCCAGTTTCCCTTCTTTTTTGAACCGTTCGCCTTTGTAGATGACGAGGTCGAGGAAGGTGACTTGACTGTTTGTAATCTCTGACGTGAACTTGAGCGTGGGATGAATTTGGTTTAGAGTTTAGACGAGGTCACCGGCTTGGTCTTCGTTACCGTTAAATATTGTTAAGACGTCGTCCCTGTATCTCATGTAACTCACAATTGAAGGATTGTGTGGGAGAATAATTTCTTGTTCATATTTAAACAGGGTTATATCGCATATTTCTGGACTGCATTCGCTGCCCATAGCCACGCCAATTTTCTGTCTGAAGAACTTTCCATTGAATTCAAATATGTTTCGATGCATGATAAGTTCCAGGAGACAGCGAGCGTGTTTTCTTGTAGGTTTGGGTATTGCGTACAGACTGTTATCGGCAACTTCAAGTGCATCGCAGACTGATTCAATTGCCTCATCTTGTGGGCAATTCGTATTACATGGACACAATATCCAATGTGATAAATAGGCTATCCTGCTTCAATGTCACGTTGTTTAGTTTTTCAAGCACATGCCCGGAATTGCGTGTATGTGTGCTTTGTTGTTTGACAATCGGAAGCAGAAAATAGTCTATGTATTTTGAAATTGATTGAGTCGGACCTCCGCAACCACTAATGATAGGCCTCCCCACAAACCGCGTTTCTGTGGGTGCTTCTTTGTGAACTTTCGGTAAGAGGCAGAGGCAAGGAGTTTTGATGTCGTGGTTGTCATGGTTGAGAAACTCAAATGTTTTTTTTTGATATTACTCCATCAATGTGAAGTCTGCGTATGGCTTGAGCGACCTGTTGCGCAGTTTCCCCAGTCAGATCCCTATCAATCTCTTCATAATATGGGCCTGATAATTGTCGTAGCCCCTCATGTATATAGTCTTGTCTGTTTAAAACACATACACCGCGGCCTTTGCTTAAGGCCGGTCAGAGCGATGCGTTCCGCTTTTGATATGTTAGATACATTTTTTATTTCCAACTTGGATAATTTCTCCAAAGTACCCTCAATGTATGATTCTAGATTAAGGTTGAAGGTAGGTTGGGGATTCCAAGTGGAGGGCAATTTGAAAGGATGCGAATTTGAAGGTCTCACTCTCCCTGCCATTTTTAGACGTAATCTCATTTTTCTCAAAAATGATTGGGAATGGTGAAGGATGGTGGACCTTTTTGGTTTTCTAGGGGTGGGTATAAAATTCAAACCCCTGCCTAGAGCAATCAGTTCAATGTTAGAGAGCTGAGAGTCCGAGAGATTCTTAACATAGGGCATACTCTGTTTAGCTTTCAGCTCAAGAGAGATCGTCTTCGCCCACATCTTGTGCTTTTTGCTTATTTGGCGAGATTGGACAGATCTATTCTTGGCTGCATTCGTTTTGTTATTTTTTTGGCTTTTATTAAGTCTCCTCGCCATGCTCAAGCAGACTCAATGTAAACTTGTGTTCAATAAGTATTGACTGAATAAGGTCTGCAAGAGAGCGTGGAAATTGTGGTTTTGGTTTTAGTGTCATGCCAGCAACTTATATGTGGGAGCTACTGCAAATCCCATCCCCCTCCCATGTTTTAAACCCTAATTCAAGGCGGCAACTTTCTTGGAATGACCTTGGAACTTTCCAACAAGTTATTAATATCAACAGATTATTCCCTGAATTTTGCTTGCACAAAACCGGTTCTTCCTTGCGATTTTCCTAGCCAGAACTTAAAACCACTTCTTTTTAAGAAAACACAAGTCTGATAAAAACTTAAATGCATGGTGGCGGCCAAACTCCGTTCCATTTAACTTAAAAATGTAGTGGCGACATGTATGAATACGCCCCTTCCTAAAAACATTAAGTGAACTAGAAACAAAAACCACATGTACACAAACCAGTCCCTGTCGCCTAAACACCGGATGAGTTTTTTTGAAACTCCCGTTCTCCGGTTATCACCAATCTAATGGGCCCGCTGGCGAGGTATGTGTTGACAAGTTATAACCCACCCATCACCGCAACCCAGCAGTGGAACTGATTCTACTCCCTATATGCGTATTGAATTTCCAAAAAAGGAAAAAAAACCTTAACAAATACGCTCTAGGCAGTTTAATCATATAACTACACAGGTATCCATACCAGTGCTTGTAAGTCTTAAATAAACGAAAATCTTCCCTAGCTGGTTGCAAACACAGTGTTTTCAAAAAAGATTCATCAGCTCGCAGAGCCCCTCGTACTCCAATGTTTTCATACATCCCATAAAAAGAAAAGAATGAGGAACGGCCCTGTTGATGCTGATAGTAAATCCCATCCCCCTCCCATGTTTTAAACCCTAATTCACGGAGGCAACTTTCTTGGAATGACCTTGGAACTTTCCAACAAGTTATTAATATCAACAGATTATTCCCTGAATTTTGCTTGCACAAAACCGGTTCTTCCTTGCTATTTTCCTAGCCAGAAAACCACTTCTTTTTAAGAAAACACAAGTCTGATAAAAACTTAAATGCAAGGTGGTGGCCAAACTCCATTCCATTTTACTTAAAATGTAGTGGCGACATGTATGATTACGCCCCTTCCTACTTAACACAAAGACAATGCAAATTTAAGTACGCCTACATTGGGTTGAAATTTATACGCATGCATGGGATAAATGGGAGACATCAACATCGGCGTTCCCCTGCCAAAAATAAGAGGGGGGGGGGGGGGGAGGGAGGAGAATCCCCGGGATCGCCGCCCATGACCCCAACAAAGGCTTCAGTCAACTGTGGGAATTCAGATAGTGCACTGTCCCCAAGTTGACCGTTATATTCGCGCACCATTTACAGCCCCATTGTCCGGTATTGATCCCCACATAACATGTAGACAGCCCACTAGGCTCGTGCGCAATCGATCGGATTAA